GCTGCGGCCAGGACTCGGTGGTTCGTTCGCATCTCGGCTTTTGTAAACAAGTTGACAGACAGGCATCCGGAGCTCTTCGCTCCTCTCCTCCGGTCGTTGGTAGCTGCCGTATTGACGTTTGATGAGCGGATTATCATCGGCAGTTTTCCCTTGTCCCGGGACAAGTGTTGGATCTTGCCACACAATAACTGCGCCATTTCCCCCACTGATTTCCTTTCGACAATATGTGAGCAAAACTGTTGAAAATCCTTGCGGGAAATGGTTCTTAAAGGAGTGGTTTTTGGAAGGAAAACTTGTTGCAATATTGTTCAGGTTTTAAATGTTAAAATATCCTTTTAATGCGCTTTTAACTTTTGGTTTTTGATGAGAAATAAAGAGGAATTATTATATGTTCTTTACATTTATAATGAAAACAGATTTAGTGCAAATTAGTATCCTTATTCCATACTTTTATTGCACTTTCTAGTACATTTAACATTCCTCGAATGGTTCAGAGTCGTAATCGGAGCCCAGTTTCGTGTCCTTTAGATGTTTTTTTTTCTGTTTTAAGGTGCTGCCATAAAGACTAGTTTTATGCGAGGGCGGCCAATAAAGTGCAACCAAGGACATTGTACAAAGTTGGCATGCCAGTTGGCAGTTTCCAGTTACCAGTTACCAGTTACCCATTTCCCATTTCCCATTTCGCATTTCCCCATTTTCCAGTTAACCCGTAGAGTGCACACAAAATGGAGTTGCCCCATAAATGTCCAGGCAGCACAAATTGCGTGGCAAGGATCATAAAGTGCATGGGCAACCTAATTTCCTTAAAGCCACAAAAAAAAGTGCAAGATGAATTACCGTTACCATTGTGCAGTGTAAGCCAAGTCCTTCGCCATCTCCCTCACTCGATGTCCTTTTTGTGTGTGAGCGTGTGTAGGTGAGCGTATAATGAGCTGCTGTTTTACATTTTAATTTCCGGCCACGTTTGAAATGGCTGACTGCCCCGACAGTTCGTCCTTTCGTCCTTCCGTTTTGGCTAGAAGCTGAGATTTTGCGGATTTGGCTTTTGTCTGCCGGCAAGCAGACATTGCTCCTCTCACTTCCACTTTGTTGGCCGCAATTATTTAAATGAGATTACAAAGGACTTGTGCAGCGGAAATCTTATTGTATGTGTGTGTTTGCTGTTCATTTGTTCGCTGCCGGGAGATCGCTTGTTCCTTGTGCCTTGTTCCTGATTCCTGATTCCGGCATCCTTGTCCAGGGATTTGCCAAGTCTTCATATCCTCCTTTTTTTTGGCCCTGGCTCACATTACGGCTTAGACGACGTGTGTCAAAAGTTATCCCGGTCGATTGTTTTGGCTTTTGTTCAAAACTACAGTAAAGTCGTTTGCATACCTAATTTGATTGTTAATTGTTCTCATTTTTATTTTATTTTTTTGTTTGTTGGTAACTAGATTATCCTTTCGGCTGGCCTTACCCGTGATCCTAATGAGTTCGTCAGTAGTTTCTGGCAAACGGACACATGTCAGTTTATAAAGTTTGCGCCAGGAACATGGCTCATTTACCAAAGTTTAAAGTATTCTGAAATAAATAAGCAACTTAGTGGACAGCTGTTATGTTAGGGAGAAAAGTTTTAGTTAAGCATAAATTTTAGCAACTTAAAAATGCATTAAAAGTCGTTTATATACTTTAGAAGAGTATTTTACTTTTAATGATAAGTTTACAATAAAGTGAAGGAGTCATTTCCGACCCTATAAAGCATATATATTCTTGATCAGCAGTAACAGCGGAATCGGTCTAGCCATTTCTGGTCAAAAAATAAATTTTTGAATTTTTTTTTAGAAATTTCCCTTGCTATATTTACACTTTTGAAATTTTCAAAAATTAAAAAAACAAATTTTCTAAAATATTAAATTGAGTATGCAGATTTTTTAACAGTCTAAAAACTAGCACAGAAGAGTTATCAAAATTAAAATTAATGCTTTTTTGGCTAAGTTATATATTTTTTGAAATTTTGATATTCCACAAAAATTATATAAATAAAAATCGATTTAAAAAATGCTCATAGTCAAAGTCTTTTTAGCATTATATAATGTTCAAAAGCTAAATATTGCCCTGAATCGCTTATAAATTAATATAGAAACAATAAAATGTTGAGAAAAAATGATTAAAAAATTTTAGACAATTTAAAAAAAAATATGAAATACCCAAAAAATCAAATTTGATAAAAACCCTTTTGCTTAATATGCAGAATTATTAACCTAATAAAAAGTAACACAAAAAGGTTTCCAATTTGGAATTAATGCTACCTCGTTCTTGATATTTTAAACTTCGAATCCCTTAAAAATCTAATAAATAAATATCATTATTAAAACAGCCTCTAACATCATCTGATACCAATAATATAAATGGGTTTCGACTTCATTCAAATAATATTTCCCAAAAATATCACTCAAACATCTCTTTTGTATTGTTTTCATTCCCAAAAAATCCTTCAACATCCCTGGCTTTCGCTAAAAATAGTTAGTTTTTTAACAAAGTGCTTAAACATAAAAACCCACAGGTTGAAGAGCTATAGAAGCACTTTAGGTCTTTCATCCCTCACTCACTTTGGAATTCAAATGAGCCCCGTGTAAATCCGTACTCAGGAATACGAAAACCTTTTTTCATTTCGAGTGAAATTCTTGGCCCCATCTTCGTTGTCGTCGCTGACCATCTGTGGCCACTTTTCCAATGTCCTCGCTTTGTCCAGCATTTAAGCGGCTGAAGTTGAAGCCTTTTGCACCTGAACGAAACACGCAGAGAAGCTTTCTGCGAATTCGAAGACTGTGGCAGACCGCACCTAAATATCCTGGCCAGGACATCCAAAGCAGTCAACACCGCAGGATATTTGTGCATACAATAAAAAAAAAAAACAAGCTCAAAACCGAAACTAAAACTGAAACAGAAACAACAAATGGCGATGACAATTTCCATTTCGCATTTTGCATTTCCCATTTTCCTTCCATTTCCCAGAGGTGTGTGTGTGTGTGTGTGGGTGTGGGAATGGCTTTGGCTTGGCCTTGGACTTTGGGGGTGGCGTTGGCGATGGTGGTCAAGCTCAAGGACATCGCTCGATTGGAGTGACAGGCGTTGTTGGTTTTGTGTGTGTCTCAGTTTTTTTTCTTTTCTCATTGCTGGCGTGTCTGTGGCAGGGAGAGCAATCTAGAAAAATTACAGCAATATGAAATAACAGTAACTATTGTGCTAATAGGATTAAAATGTATGCACCGCACAATGGCAGCTTTAGACGGAACGCAGAACCTGCCTGCCGATGACAGCCACAAAGGTGGGCAGCAGGCAGAGTGCTGGGTGAAAACAGGTGTCAACAGATGCTGAGCGTTTTTCACCGCACTACCTCACGTATCTTTTGTTTGCATAGATACATTATACCGGTAACTCGGATGTGTGCCACTGCACACTCAGATACAGATAACGCCCACACATGCAAAAGAGCCACTAAGTACACCTAAAAATTTATCGAGAAAAGTGCAGCAAAGTTTACCAACTTTCAGGGGGAATTTGTTTTGAAATTAAGTTGGGAAAATATATAATTTCTTGGGAGGTAGAATTGTTCAGTATTTAAATAATTTATAATATATAATATATATATTATTTTAAATATATGTTGGAGAGGAGATAACCTAAATCATATATAAATACAATTGTATACCAAAAATTTGATGATAATCTGTTGAAAACTGGAAAAGTTATATTTTTTCTTACAATTTTCCGATTGTTCCTATGGCAGCTCTATACATGTATATATAGTCCACCGATTCGCCATACTCCGACTTATATAATAGTAAAATTATATAGAAGAATAACTCATACTTTCATTCAAATAGCTTGCTCTTAAATTTGTTCCAAAATTAATCTCGCACATCTGTGTATATGATTCCCAACTGGTTCTAACATCCCCGGAACGAAGTGACTTCTGCCGGCCTTGTCTCAGATATGTGTTGTGTTACAAAAGTTGCAAGTCATTGTTTATTAGTGTTCAAAGTTAGTAACTGATCATACATACTTACTGGTCATAGATACTTACTGATCATAGTTACTTATAGGTCATAGATACTTACTGTTCAGAGTTACTTAATGTTCATTTATACTTACTGATCATAGGTACTTAATGTTAATTGATACTTACTGATGATAGTTACTTAGTGCTCATACAAATCTCGCACATCTGAACATATGATTCCCAACTAGTTCTAACATCCCCGGAACGAAGTGCCTTCTACCGGCCTAGTTTCAGATATGTGTTGTGTTTCAAAAGTTGCAAGTCATTGTTTATTAGTGTTCAAAGTTAGTAACTGGTCATACACACTTACTGGTTATAGATACTACTCATAGTTACTTAATGTTCATTGATATTTACTGATCATAGTTACTTACTGGTCTTAGATACTCACTGTTCAGAGTTAATTACTGCCCATAGTTAATTACTGATCATAGTTCTATAAATCGTCCGATTGTTCCTATGTCAGCTATATATATGTATATACATATATAGTACACCGATTCGGCATTCTCCGATTTACATACTAGTCAAATTATATAGAAGAATAACTCCATAGTTTTATTCAAATAGCTTAAATGTGTTCCAAAACAAATCTCGCACATCTGTACATATGATTCCCAACTAGTTCTAACATCCCCGGAACGAAGTGCCTTCTACCGGCCTAGTCTCAGATATGTGTTGTGTTAGAAAAGTTGCAAGTCATTGTTTATTTGTGTTCAAAGTTAGTAACTGATCATACATACTTACTGGTCAGAGATACTTACTGTTCAGTGTTACTTACTGTTCAAGGATACTTACTAATTCCGTTCCGACTTACATATATAAGAGTGAGAGTATATAGAAGACTTGCTTCTTTTTATACTATATCGATATAGTTAATTATATTTGAGAGTCCCAATGCATGCTTTCAGTTTTTTTTTAAATACATGCATATATAAGTTAACTGAAACAAGTGTAATTTTCCTTGAAATTCTTTTTTAATATGTTGAACCCAACTTATTTTGTTTTCAAGCTTTCATTGCCAAATGAAAGTTCACAAATTTCAACATATGTAAATGGAATCCAAAAGTTGTTAGTTAATACATGATAATTTTTAGTTTTTACAATTTATTTGCTGGGGCGACAGGCTCCATCCTTGCAAGGATCTCGACAGCGCTTTCCCTTTGGCTTCTTCTGCTCCCTTCTATAAGGTTCTTTCCCTTGAAGAAGATCGGAAGATATGGGGAAAATGGAAATGGCAGCACTTTAATGAGTGTTTTGGCAACTTACTTTGAAAGCAGCCACCAAGGAACCGATTCCTCTCACAAAAATTCTTGCCCTTCTCGGTGCTGTGGCCCTTCCTTTTGGCCATTCCCCGGACTGGAAGCACAGGAATCAGTGATTGATGGAGCAAGTTGGTTCTGGGCAGGATGTGCTCGCCCCACAGCAGGATGCCCATGATGAGGCGGGCAACCATGGCAGGGGCTTTTTCTTGAAGGAATTAAGAGTTCAACTAAAAAAACAATTTTGAAATGATGTCGAACGAGAGAGTAATCGAGGCTGAGAACGATTGAGTACAACTCACACAGCCTGCTAATCGAAAGTTTTCCCCAGAAGTTTCCACATGCCAAGAACATGCACATATATATATTTTCCACTGCCAGCAGCAACAAGTTTGTAATGACTTTGAGCAACTAATTAGAATGCGGCAGGATTACGATGCACTTTGGCCACCGAAATGCAAGCATTTTAATCGAAAAAGTTGAATCAGAATTGAGCTTAACTTTTATGCATAACTATGTGCATGAAATATGGAAAATTGAGTTTATTTTTAAGTAAATTTCACTTTCAAATTGAACTGATTGTAAATCAAGGGAACATATTTATAGAAATATTTTTTAATAAGAATCTATTAATTTTCCACTATAAAACCTTCTGTGTCAGTATCTACCTTCCCTAAACTTCATAATCTTCTTGTTTTCCCTCTCAAAAATCCCCTTCTTTAAAATCCTTGGTACAATTAAAGCTTCTTATATTTGATTTTCTTGCTTCTTTCTATGTATCTATCGTTTTACAAAAAAATCTATGAGTATCTCAAGGATGTTCTGGGCAATTTTTAGTTTAAGGCAACATCTTTTGAAGTATGTCAGAATCGTCTGAGCTGAGCTGACTTGAGAGCTTTATCGTGTTTATATATAATTTCATATATATACACGTTCATAGCCAATGTTTTAGCACTTAGTGAGGCAAGCTCATAACTGACAGTCAAGAGCAGGAAAATCCAACGAAAGCTTCAGTGTGTGTGTGAGTTTCGGGGAAAATCCTGCGAGCAGCGTAGAAGCAAAGTTAAAAGTTGAGTTCGCGTTGCACAACGAAGTGGAAATGCTCTAGCATTTAGAGGGAAAATAGCTATGAAAATCCCATTAATCAATGATGCAGTAAAATACCAAACAAGCTGGAAAATTTCATTTTCATATATTTATCTATCCTGAGAGTTTGGGGGGTTGTTGCAATGATGATAGGTTGCAAGCAGCACCTTTTCTGGGTGCGGCTGCCTTTGAACCGCTTTCAGTTTGGTTTTCCTATTTCTTTTTTGGGGTATTTTCACTGGGATTTTTCGCTCATTTTCTATTTATACATATTTCGGGGTGAGAAAAGTGTGGGCTTGGCTGTTTGTCGCTTTGATTGCAGTTTACATAGGTGTCAATTAGCAACGGTGCGGTTGGTTGCATTTCAATGGAATTAGTGTTGATATTTTTGCAGGACAGGGGATTAGAGTGATCAACTCAACACCCAAAATTATAAGTTTATGTTGCCATTTATGGGTGGAATATATAGTATATTTTATAGTTGAGAATTTTCCCAAAAGAGCTTGTGACAAATTTTAATCTCAGGTATTAATTTCACACTCTAATTTAAGTGTGGCACATGTTTTTAGGGGAGAGATTTAATACTTGTGCTGGATTTAATTATCTCTTTGTTCAGGTAGTTTTGGGTTTGAAAAAATAGAAAAAAGGGAACACCCTCAATTTTGTTTAGAGTTGTAGGTTTTACTGTGTAATTAAATATAATATTAGGGGTACACCTTTAAATATACCCTTGATTAAAGCATATCTTATTTACTTAATTGTTCATAAGATACCTTAAAGTTTAACCCAATTTTTAGTTACTTTTTAAGCAAGCTATTATATTAAATACACACCCAAAGAAATCAACAAAACATTAACCCCCTTCGAAACTACTTGTAAACAATGTTAAATATTTCTTCAACATCTGCTTCTACATCCTTGTCAGGACCTCCAGTCAAATCGGCGACACTCTCAGCAATGAAAGTGATGAATAACTTGGAGTAATGTTACGAAATCAATAAAAATCCTTTTAGAAGATCTAGGACATATACACACACACAAGCACATTAGGGACACACCGGACAACATTTTTTCTTTGACCGAGCACATTTTTATTATCCCAAACTAATTTGAGGGTTGGTCCTTGATTTCTCCTCCTGAGTATCCTTCTCGCTTTCTCCCATTCAGTTTGTTGCCATGTTTTGATGTCATTCGCTACACGTGCTTAATTTCATTTAATTTATTTAATACTTGAAAAATAAGTTTTTTGTTTACTTTTGTATTGAACAACCACCACCCCTCAGCTGATGTCCTTGCTCTCCTGCATTTCTCCTATACTCCATAGGGTGTATCCTTGGGATTCCCTCTATTTAACGGCACTTGGGCGTGTACGAATACCGAATGAATACGCATTTCGCTCTTTCGCCACGCTGCGTAACGAAAAAATTGTGGAATTTCGGGGAGTTTAAGTGGATGAGGATGAGGATGGGTCTGAGGATGTGGCTGAGGATGATAGGGAATGCAAAAGGACATATAGAGAGAGGTGCTTGCTGCAAGATAAATCGCCCGCTGGGGAATTGTGAGGTTTTGCCGGTAGAATGCCTCGTCTGCATATTCATGATACGTGGGCAGGTTTCTCTGCATATTTATAGGATTGTTGGCTAAGCAAGATATTCTGGTCTGATATTAACCAAAAGTTGGTTAAAGTTTTTCACGAGAAAGCGGTTAAAATAAAACTTTCATTAGCATCATCAGCCAAGCAGTTGTTAGCTTTTCTTAGTTTTTAGTTGCTTGACTTTAAAGACTTCTCCAAAGGATACCATGAAAGGAAGATACAGATGCTAGAAATAGATTCTTGGAATTTATTTATAATTTTACTAAGAGAAGCTGCTAACTTTGTAAGAAATATCGTTTCAAAGTGTTAAATTACTTTGTAGACCTCCAAATAATTTTGGAAGCTATATTTAGTCAAATTGGAATAAATACCAACAACTTTTCTCTATCATTTTTTCCCCACATTTTCCCAGGACTTTCCTTGCCGGATAATTAGTCCTTTATCCGCTTAGAACAGCACCTTGACACCATTGTGATGACGACAGAAACTACTTAGGAGCTCTGATTAGCAGCTCTGACGCACAATGTTCGTTAGTGCAGTTGCCATAGCGCTATACACTTCCAACTTTCTCTGGTCCTTGTGGTCCATTCAATTGCTCAAAAAAGGATTTGCCTGAGCAGGCTAACTAGTGACCATCGAACCGCAAAGTGCGTCACCAGTATCAGGATGATACAGCTCTTTTCATTTTCGGAAGAGAAAATGTTTCTGGAAAAAAAGTTCAAAAATAACTTGTCCAAAATGCGGATTGTTTTCCCTTTTTGGGGAGATGTGCAGCCAAAATTTGAAACATAATTAATGGCCAGTTCAAGGCCAGTTCAAACTGAAACCGCACTCGTGGCCCGGCTTCCAATCATCTCATCCCCATCCTCATCCTGTCCATTTTCCTCATTTCCTCTCTGGTGCTTAGCACAAATCCAATGGCGTGTGAGTGTATTTGCCTAAGCGGATTAACAGCGGTCAATTGTGTGGATGCACTGGGAGAAATACTTGGGGATTTTTGATTGCTTAAATTCGGGATTTATTTGTAAGAGAGTTTGGAAATTGTAACAGAGATTTTTGAAGGAAAATTATGGTTGATTTTGAAGGGTTTAAAACCATAATCAGTTAGGTTGTTTTTGAGTCTTACTGATTTTATATTTATATAAATAAATATATAGATCGTAAGATATTAAACTTATGATTTATTAAAAATATAAGGTGCTGGTTACATGTTTATCATAAAAATTAAATTCGTGGTATTTTATTTAAGAATTTTATATCATTTTGTTTATAACTCCCTTCTCTCTTGTTGTTGATTGAAAGTCTCTGCTTTTTTGTTAATAGAATTCCCTTAAATAACTAAACCCTTAAAGAATTATTCATACTTTTTTCCCCAAGTGTAAAGAAAGCAAAGAGCATTGAAGCAATGGTTCCTTTTTTTCCCCACAAAATTGTTCCGAAAGGTAGCCAAGCAACAGCATCTCCTTTCTTCTCCTGCAGATAAAATAAAATAATATAAAATAAAGTAAAAAGGAGCACTCTCGCATAGCCACAGCCCCAAAAACCCAACCCAACCCCCCGTCAAGTAATTGGGTAAAAGATGAGCGGCCTGGGTCCGGCAGCCTGTTGGCTGGCCCACAAGCGCATCGAGTCCTGGTCCCGGATGGCCAAGGAGCGTGTGGGAGCAGTGCGTCGGGTCACGCTCGACCGGAATTCGGCAGATGAGAGTACTCCCGGTGGCAGTGGGAGCGGAAGCGGTACCTCGGGCACAACGACCGCGGTGGGCGTGGGTGGTAATGGTACCGGGCTACCAGGTTTGGTGCACATCCTGCCCACGGGAGATGGGATCACGGGTAGCTCCACCACACCGCCGCCACAGCCGATGACACCGCCGCCATCGGCATCATCGGTTACATCGACCACCAGCGGCATTGGCAGCGTTTCGGCCGGTAGTGTCAGCGATAGCTGTGATTTGCCCACGGATTCGGAGGTTCTTATAGCGGCACAGGGGAATCCCCCCTAGGCGGAGACTACTAATGAGTACTTTTGCTCTCTTTACTCCTCTCTGCAGGAGGTGGCCATTGCCAAGGAGTGCCAGCCCATTCAGCCGGCCACCCATATGCATGGCATGCATGGCGGTTTGGGTATGAATCATCATCATCATCACATGGGTGCCGTTTCGGCCACTGGTACGGATATATTACGTGGTCCAGCCGAGGTGTTCCACAGTCCATTGCATTTGCATCACCAGAGCCGATCCTTTCCGCCGCGCCTCCAACGCACACCGTCCATCTCCAGCCAGAGCAGCGTGGATAGTGCTCCATCCAGGCATTCGGTAAATAGGATTCTTCCTCTATACCCTTATCATATTTCTTACTTTTTTCCTGAACTCCTTTGACAGGGTCATCGCGGCTCCTCACCACAGATAAGAACCTTTGGACCGGATGGACGCAGCTCGTTGCCCAGTGAGCCGGCTTTCCCACATCATTTGGCCAGATCTCCTAGTCCTATGAGAACCATTTCTTTGGATGCTCGTTGCGGTAGTCCTGCTCACTCGGTGGATCCTGGGGATATGAGGACGCCCAGTCCTTCGCAAAGTAGTTTGGCTTCACTGGCTGGTGGATCGGGCAGCTGCTCCGGCAAGGGTGTGGGCGTGGGTGGTGGTCGTTGCCTGTCGCCATTGCTAATACCACCACGATCACAGCCTGGAGTGGATCCTGCCATGGGTCCAGCCTCACCATTGGGTGCCCTACAACCGGATCTCTATCGATTGCCCGATGGTCCTGTGTATTTGACAGCGCCAGAGTCCAGTCATGCCGTGGGACGATTGCACCTGCGTGTGAAATATGATTATCACCTCTTTGATTTGACGGTGCATCTAATTGAAGGTTAGTTATACTTTTAACTTCATAATACTATTACCTTTAATCCTTTAATTCTGTATCCTTTTAGCTCACAATCTCAGTCCCATTGAGGAGGGCGGCTTTCGGGATCCTTATGTTCGACTGATGCTGCAACCGGAAGTGGACAGCCGAAAGCGACAGACGCACATCCATCGTGGCGAATCGAATCCTTATTTTGACCAGCACTTCAAGTTTCCGGTTTCCCGTGATCAGCTTCAAGGCAAAGAGCTGATCCTTCAGGTGCTCGACTACGATCGCTATTCGCACAACGACATTATTGGTGAGGTTCGCATTTCTGTGGATGGTTTGGATCTGTCCAAGTCGGTGGAGGTGAGTTCTAGCTTTATTTACTTTATCTATTTATATATAAAATATATTTAAAAGATTTGGGGAGACTTGCTGCGCACCAAGAAGCCCAAGGAGGATCGACCCGAGTTGCTGTGCTCCTTGAACTATTTGCCACAGGCTGAGCGTTTGACGGTGGTAATAATGAAGGCAAGGAATTTGGATACGGTTCAGGAACCCTATGTTAAGGTGGGTATAACACAGTAAAAATGATATATATATTTATTATATAATATATAATATGAATATAATCATATTATATGAATTTTAAATCAAATTTATATCGATTCAAAGTTTAAACATAATAAATGAATGATAATTATTGAAAGCATGAGAAATGTAATAGTAATACAACTAGTTTATATAAAAGAGGTTTTATTGAAAAACTATTACTGAAAAAACCTAAAGGAATATAATTGCAATATATCTGATTCATATAAAAGATATTTTAAAGAATATAACTGATTCATATAAAAGAAATGTTAAAGAACTATTAATTAAAAAACCTAAATGAAAGTATGAGGAATGTAATAGTAATAATTCATATAAAAGATACTATAAAAGAACTATTATAAAATTCCAAATATAATATAATTATATTAGTCTAAGTATAATAATAATTTTAAAACAATTGAGAAACTGACTTTAATTTGCTTTTATTGAAAAGGTTAAGTCCAAACCAACTTCAAACTTATTTTAAAACTTACTTTCATAGAATTTTCTTTGCATTTTTACTAAGATAAAATAATAAGCATATAAATATTAATCTTTTTTTTTTCTTTGTGCATCATAAACTTAATGAATTTTTCTCCCACACAGATTTACCTGATTCAAAATGGCAAACGCATCAAGAAGAAAAAGACGAGCATCACAAAGTCCGATGATCCCACCAATCCCATCTGGAACGAGGCATTCACATTTAATTTGCAATCAAATTATCTCCACAATGCAGCCATTGAGGTAACGTAACCTTTAACCTTTTTGCTTGGTCATAAACTGGCTGGCTGGCCACCGTCGTTTTTAACAGCCTTGGCTGCTAATTCCTGGTTTAATGGCTGGCCGCCCATCGTTGTGTGTTTTAATTGAAAAACTCACCCCCCAAAGCACCTGATATCTGATTTAATTTTTTATATATTTTGTGTGGTTTTTCTTGCAGATCTATGTGGTGGGTGCTGGCAGTGAGGCCACGGAAATTGGATGCTGTGGCTTGGGGCCCCAGGAGAGTGGAACTGGTTGCCAGCATTGGCACGATATGATAAACAATGCCCGGAAGCCAACGGCCATGTGGCACTACATCCGCTAGGCACTTAAGGGGTTATGATATAGTGTCCCCGTGCTGAGTCTATAGAGATCAGGGATGCCCAGTGGAAGTCCTTGCTCTCCAGCTTCCTAGATCCCAAGTTTCCTAGATCCCGAGATCCATAACTCCCTTACTCCTTGCTCCCTAACTCCTTTGTTCCTTTGATTCCTGTAAAGAAACAAGGATGTAACAAGTTTTCTTTTAGTTTCTATGGGGCATCCCTGATAAATAGGTGTTCTACCATAACCGTGTGTAACCAACCATTGTGTGTCTGTGTGAATTTTCCAATTGCATTTTCCGTAAGCTTATAACGAAATCAAAAAAAATCTCACCTATATATATAGTACTATATAGTATATATACACTGGCTGCAGCTACTTAACTAAGCATTAACTTGCCCTCCACAAGAAGCTCAATCAAAAAGTTCCTACACAACGACAGAAACTTCGAAAAAATTGCCCACAAAACATTTTTGATAATTGGAATGATGTTTTTGTGGGTAATTTATTTAACGGAATTATGTTTTGTTTCCTTAAGTTGTTGTGCATTTTGTGTAATCTCTCGAGAGCGGGTCCTGGGGGAGAAACCGAAAGGATAAAAATGTTAAGGGTACAAAAACACACAAAACTGTCACCGAGACTTGTTGACATTTCAATCGACTTTAGCAGACACTTGAGAAGCCTTCCTTTGCTCCTTTTTCTCCTTCGTAAGGTATTCAAGTGTGCATTTCTTAAATAATTATGAATACACCGCGCAGGGGAAATAATATTCGTATAGGTGAATGGTCGTCAATCATGCCAGGACCTAGAAGGAGTCGTCCGCTCTTTTATGCCAGCGACAGTTGACAAATTGCCATCGTCCTGTTGTCCTTTTGCCATTCGATCCCATGCCAGAGTCCTGTGTGTGTTTTGTCGTCAACTGTTTGACAGTTTCTCCCACAGAGCCAAGGGAGAAAAAACGGAGAGAGAACTTATGCTAATTGTTAAGTTAAATATTCCTTCCAACTGAATACGTCTTTCGAGGGGATGCCAGGGAGCACTTTGGCCTATTTTGTATGTGCTTACAACGAGTATTTCAAGGATAATAAGAATTTACGGATGGAGAGCTACGTTTTCTTTCACATAAATCTATGGGTGTGTTTTTTATTTCAGTGTTGTCGTACGAATTATGGGAAATCTGTCCTATATAATGTGTGTAAAATATGCTACTTAATCCGTATAAATATCGCAGATGAATACAAAACTGAATGTGTGTAATTTAAACTTTAACAAAGACTTGAAAAATAAATGAATATACATACATAGCACTGCACGTGTTAACTAGACAAAAAACAAAGTACATACTCTAGGGAGCCAGCATATAAATAAATAAATAAAATATGTATACAAACTATATATTATACACTCTATACTTGTACAAGTGTTTTTCTAAAAACCAATCCTTCTACATAATTGTTTCAATTTGTCCGAAAGCCAGACGAATCACAGAACCACATTTGCTGACACGGAGAAAATACTGAATAAACCCAAACAAAATAAAATTAACAACACAACAGGATAAATGCTGAAATACCTCCGATTTAAGCGAATCATTGTTACTTTACAATTCTTCGAAGAACATGAAATGTGCACGCGAAAAATAAATGAGATGAAAGCAAAGCGAAATGTACAAAAAAACTGCATATACATATATATACAAATATATTTCCTACAGATAGTGTTTTATTTATTGTGTAGCCTTACGAGGACTCTGTCGGAAAGCTAAACCTTAAATTGAGGAGTAACACCACCTAAAATATAAATATACACATACAAACTACAGAACAACCTATATTCATATGAATGAGAAATGTATATGTAAACTTATATGTATGTGAATTTAAATTATTCGAAAATAAATAAACCTAAAACAAAAGAGAAACTTATTTCTATTATTACATTTTCAATTTTATTAAATTCTTTAAAACTGTCTTGACCAATACCTTTTTCCTTTTGAAACCATTTTGAAAATCAAGTTTTTGTTTTTTTGAATCTGTTTATAATCTTCAGAATTCAAAAATTGAAAAACGGATATTAGTTTAGTTTTAAGTTTTCTAAAATTCTGGCAACTCTGTTTTTGGAAAAGCAGTCCTGTTTAAGGAGTAACCAGCAAGCAGTCGGGTAGAATTCAGAGTATAAAAAATGGGGACAAGTCAAGTAAAATTAACTGTAAAATGTATCAAAAATTTTAGTATGACCGTTCTCTTAGTAAAAATCGTTAATTTCAATTTTGAAAAATATATAAATTAATATTTTAAATTTTTCAAAAGAAGTTATTACAATTACTTCATATAACTGAAAAATTTATTATTTCCAGTCTCCAGGTGCTAACTTTCAGTATAAAGCATATTCTGGATTCATTTTAAAGCCTCAACTCGCTCAAAAATCTAACACCGCATTTGATAATAAAAATTCTTTATTAATACACTAAAATCAGTGCAATAAGTCGCATAAAAATCAGATAACATCGTATAGAAGCATACAAATATATATATATATATATGTATATGTATTATGTGTACTTATAGATAAATAAAAAAATCTATATGCACATACATATGTTTCCCACTGATAAGCATTGAAGTGTTTTGAACACTCTAGACTTCATGGTTGCGACATATGATGAAACAATAAATTGTTTGTGCTAATCTAGGAAGGCATGTCTTGTCTTTTCTAACATTCGAGGGGTCCCAGCACCAAGTTTTTAGCATCGTATTGTCATGATCTCACTCGTACTTGGAGATAAAGTCGTAGCGAAGCACGGAGGCCGAAAAAACCTGGCCTGCTTTGGCTGATGTTCGCTCTGAGGTGCGTCCCGGTAGATGGATGAGCACATCCGCACCCACAATGCTCTGCAGCCGGCTGCTGATTTGATCTCCAACTATTCTGGCTTGAAGTTCTCCCGCCTTGGAAATCACCGAGGCGCGCACGTACTCCGGACGACCATCCAAGGGCAGCTCGTTAAGCAACTTGACTTGGATTACGGGCAGAGAGCACTTGCTACGATCCCAGCCAGCTGCCCAACGGATGGCAGGCAGGGCGAACAGGTGGAAAGTGACAAAGGCAGAGACGGGATTCCCGGGCAGTCCGAAGAAAAACTTCTGATCCCGGCTAGCAAAGGTCATCGGTTTGCCTGGCTTCATGTTCACCCTGCCACAGTGCAGCTTAAACTGAAGATGCTCCAGCACGGGCTTCACAAAATCCTTGTCGCCCATGGAAACGCCTCCGCTGCAGATAACAAAGTCCACGGTCTCAAAGAGATTAGCCAGCGCTTGCTTGGTCTCATCAAAGCTATCACTCAGCACGGTGGTTTTGATGCAATCAAAGCCAAAGTATAGCAGCAGCTCCTCCAACATGGTGGTATTCGAGTCGTAGATCTTGCCCGCCACAGGCTCATCGTGCGGAGCGAGCAACTCGCTGCCCGTGGACACTATGGCCACCTTGGGACGTCGCACAGTCGACCGTTTGCCCACAGAGGCCAGCAGGGATTTAACCACCACAGGCGAGGCATCGGGAAATGGGAAGATGCGATCCTTGGTGCTTAGATCATGACCCACAGCTCGCACGTCCAATCCAGCCTGTGGCTCTACCAGGATGTCCACTAGGCTCTCCTGCCCATGCTTGTCTCGCTGCAGCAACTTGGTGTCCTCCACTTGGACAACACAATCAGCCTCCAGAGGGAGCGGTGCTCCCGTATTTATCTTGAAACATTCATCCTCCGCCAGAGGATCAGCATTGGGTGCAGATCCAGCAGCTATGTAGCCCACGACGCGCTTGCTGCCGGAGAAACCAGTTGACTTCATGGCATAGCCATCCTTAATGGAAGCCCTGAAGGGCGGTATGTTAACCGGCGATGTCTGCTGCCACAGTAGCTTCTCCAGATCGCTGGTCCTCTTCACCGTGTCGAAGATGATGGAGAGCACCTCTGGGACAGGCAGCATGGGAAATGGTGAATTGCGATCGGAATCGCTGCCAGCTCCAGTTTTGTGGGGACACACATGGGCAGTTCGCGTGATGACGTTAGATGGGGATTGGGATTGCGTTCCCTGGACTTCCGCATGGATTTTGCGCACCAGAGCCACCTCATCGCCGATGAGATGGACAGCGTGTGGTAGCAGCTCACTGACAGCCTCAAAGCACTCGGTTACGGCCTTTTCACTGCCCGGAAAGTTCAGGATCAGTGTGTTTCCAGCAATGCCACAGACTCCACGGGAAAGAGCCGCAAACTTGGTCTTTTGCAGCGATGCCATAGCAATAACCAGGGCCAGTTGGGGGCACTCCTTGTCCAGCAGCGGCTTCGTGGCCTCCGGGGTCACATCCCGAGGGGCAAAACCAGTCCCTCCAGTGGTTAGGATCACACGCAGATCGTCCCGAGCAATCCATTTGTGCAACTCCCTCTGGATGAGCTGCTGCTCGTCGGGCACAACACTGGCTATCACATCGGCATTCTGGAAGGAGTCGCCGATGAGCCTTACCAGTTTTGGACCACTTTTATCCTTTGCCGGCTCCTGGTAACAGGTGTCACTGATGGTCAGAACTCCAAAGGTAATTGCCTCCATTACGTAATGGGCATTACTGTCAGGTGCGGCGAGTAAATGAAATAATTAAATCAAATGAATTAGCACGCAAACTTTGCCGGTTGATAGAGGTGGTAAAATAACGATAACAGTAGTATCGGTACATCGATAGGTAGTTTTCTACATCGATTTTATCTACGGTTGTGCAGGCAGCTTGTTATCGGGCGGTATGATTTCCGGTATGATTAGCCAAGTTACATTTATATTAAATAATTGTAGTAGTTATTATTATTATAGTTAATATTATTAACTTTTATTTAATAATTTTTTTCAAACAAAAATATTTAAAAAGGTAGGCTAATTATTCTTATTTTCTTGATTAAAACTTTTTCAAATAGTACAATAGATCCAATTAAAACATACTATGGTATACATATTTTTTTTATTTTATATATTTATAATAAAAATAAAGATAAATAATTAAAAATACTCATTCTTTTTTATTTTATGTATTTATAATAAAAAAAAGTGTAAAATAAATAATACATAAATTTTCTTATAAAATAAATCGTGGTTGTCACGCATGCATAAAAATAAGAATATTTTTAAGGCTATAAACTAGCTGGATATATTGTATAAAATTTCCCATTTTCATATATGCCAGATATAGCCTAAACTGAGCCAAATTGCCAACACTTGTCGGCAGAGGAATTGTGTGCCCCTATATAATTTTCCTATATATGCACATTCAAAACAAAAATTTCCCTCAACGGAAGCGGTTGTGCCGCGGAGCGTCTTTTAAATGCCGCGCGCGAAGCTTTTTTAAATGCGAAATAAAAAATATATAATTTAACTGATTAAAAGTGACACTAAATGAGAGTCAGTTAAATTAATTAAATAACTTTTAGTCTGCAAAAGTATCTCACTTACAATATCTCAAATACAATATTGAAAGCTCAGTGAACCCGGTAAATAAATCAAAACGACAAGTGATTATCCGGTGTGTGTGTCTGTGTGAGTGTGTGTGTGTGTGTGTGTGTGCAAGTGCAATGTGTGGGTGTAGTTGTTGTGAAGTCCTTTTGCAGCTCCTTTTTGCATCCCTTTTTGGCCAAAGTGGCGCCATTTTCTGTGTGATGCATATTGTTCTCCCATTGCAATCAAAGAGAAGTTTCAGCCACAATCATACAGATACAGTGGAGCTTCCCTTAAATTGAACAAGGATTTGGAGAACAGAAAAAAGCTTAAATTTAAGATAAATTACTAGGGTTTTAAAAGGTCCTCATGCTGGAATGATTATAATAATAGGAAGCAGGATTCCGCTTTAAAGTTTGAATCTTTTTATATAAATATCTCTTGACTTTTATATAATTTAAAAGCCGGTTTTGCTATATTGTTTACAAAACTTTTTTTAAATTGTTAACTTCAAAGTCTAAAGTGAACTCAGCTTAGTTTTACTTCTGAGAAGCTGGACTGTAGTTCACCAAAGACAAAAGGCTCACTCCCCAGCTCAACCTCAAGCTGCATATGAGTTAATATTTGTCTAGTTTTTGAACATGCCGCCTTTGTCTTAGCCTTTGTGTTCCCGCACTTGTTCGCAGGACTCCCTTCCTCCCTCCTCCTATCCCATGCACTTCTCGTCTGACGTCTGACGCTGAAGTTGACAAACCAACCAGGTCCTGGTCCACTTTGGATGACAGCGTCTTTGAGCTGGTGGCCCCAGGAGGGAGGAGGTATGGCATGGAGAAGCAGAGGCATCCACATCACAGCAAATAGCTCTACTTTCCACTCTCGCCGAAAGTGCTATCCTTTTTGCAGGATATAGCTGCATCGGGGGCTGGGCCCGGGATGCGAGTGTGAGCCTCGACTCCCTGGCGCTGTAAAATATGCAATTAGAAAGACATCAAAGCACAGTCACCGCCCAACTCAACGCTGATAGCCGGGCACCACCCACAGTTAGTCAGTCAGTCGAGCCACCCAAACCACCCACCACTTACTTTGGGTGGCCCCTTTGGCCCCCTTTCCTCCCTCCACAGAACCCCATTTCGCTTTCGCTGTCGTCGCCCGCTTGCTTTGCTATGCGCTTTGACACAAGCACAGACGACAAGCACTGGAAAAAGCAAAGAAAAGCCCCAAATAAAGTTTATATAATTTGAGAAAAATCTTTACTTACTTCTAAAAGATTTAAGGTATATAATATAATAAATAAAATAATATTTGAAGGAGATTTGAGCTGTATTATAGGGTCTCTGAATTAAATTATATGATTTAAATATGTTTAAAGGTTTCAAAAGAACAGAAAATTTATCACATTTCAGACTCAATACTTCTTGCATTTTATTATAATATTTTCTAATTTCTGCATTAAAGTCTATGATTTAAATTTTTTTAAATAAACTAAAAGGAATGAAAATGATAAACCATTGCAGGCGTAACCTTTCCTATATTTCTTTCTAATTTTTTTATAATTTCTGCATTAAAGTCTTTGATTAAAATTTGTTTAAATTAACTAAAGGGGAAGAAAATTATATAACATTGCAGACGGAACCATTTATATATTTCTGTATAATTTTCCTTCCTTTAGCTAGAAATATTAATTAAAATATCTTTTATTTGTAGAAATATGTCCCATTACAGACTCAATGTTTTCTATATCTCTGTATAATTTTGTATAATTTTTCCTTCCTTTAATACAGTGTTAAGCATATTTATTTTAATATCTTCTTGTTGTATAAAATTATAAACCATTCCAGCCCAGCCATTTCTATATTTCTTTATAAATTTGTATAGTTTTCTCTTTCTTCATTTAAGTGTTAAAAATATGTATTTAAATATTTTCTAGTTTGTAGAAAATTATACCCCATTACAGACTCATTATTAATGTATAATGTTGTATAGATTCACCTTCCTTTAATACAGTGTTAAAAATATTTATTTTAACATCTTCATGCAGTAGAAAATTATATCCCATTTCAGCTCAGCCAATTCTATATTTTTTTATAAATTATTATAGTTTTTCCTTTCTTTATTAAAGAGCTATAAATATTTATTTAAATATCTTATATTTGTAGAAAATTATATCCTATTGCAAACTCAATCTTTTCTATTTCTATATAATTTTGTATAATTTCTCCATCCTTTAATACTGTGCTTAAAATATTTATTTCAATATTTTCTAGCTGTTGACATTTCGAAATTGAAATAAGTATAAACCATTGTGTATTAAATACCTCAACAAATTTAAATCATATTTCTAAAAGTGCAAAGTGCAAGGACACTAAGCGAAAAAACAAACACAGAGAAAAAGGCTAGGGTCTGGGCGAGGGGCGCTCTTGAAGTACCCAAGCCCGAAACGAGTCTCATCATTAGTGCAGGTCTCTCTCCACCGCTTCCCCCCTCAACGTTTGTGTCACTTTGTTTGTCGGCAGCTACCACTGGCGCTTTTTTGATATTATTTATTTATATTTTTTCACTTTTAATAAAATGTTGTCGCCATTGCCTTTGCCGTTGCCTTTGCTTTTTGCCTTCGCCACTTTGCTTTGTGGAAAAGAAGGAACGCTTTGCCAAACTGACTGCCTGCCTGCCGGCCAAGCGAGGTCAATTGGCTTAATTACTGTGTGACAGCTTTGTGGACAAGTGGACAAGTGGAGGCGAAGGCGTGCTCCGAATCCGAATGTTTCCACACTCAAGTATTTTATGTATATATTTTCAGCAGATAGCTCAACTCCCTATCAATAGAGTCCCTTGTCCCGGGAGGCATAGAGAACATTAACTTTAATCGCTTTTCATTTCTTTTTTCGTCTGTCGTGTTTTTTCAATCACTATCTAGTAACGAGAATCGCAGTCAGAGAGAACATAAATATTATACACTCGAAAAATTAAGAATTTATTTAAATTTTTCTTACAAATTATTTTATGAAAATATCAATAATAAAAGACTTCAGAAAAGCGAATAAATTCGATTTAAACAATGCTAATAATTTAGGGATTTATATTCTGTAGAATATGAATCTTTATTTAAAAAACAAATCAAAAATTTATGAACTCAAAAGCTACAAATAAATATTGAAATGATAATACGTTTTAGAATATAAATTTGTTAAAAATAAAAGAAGAAATTTATCCAACTTCAAAGCTCAAAACATGCATTCAAATAAATATACTTCCTTAATTAGTTATCAGCTTCTTTTAGTTAGAAAAAACCTAACTTTTAAGCTTAATTTCTGAAGCCAAATCCTCACAAAAATCTTTATTATACCCCTTATTTTCTGTGTACAAAACATTGATTTGTTTATATTTTAAAACATTGCTTTATCAAACGGATATGGATTGGCCATGTAGATGAACCCAGTGAAACTTTAACTTGCACTTGTGACACACTCATTTTCCTTTCCATTTTATACCCTTGCAGGGTATTATAATTTCAGTCAGAAGTTTGCAACGCAGTGAAGGAGGCACCTCCGACTATATAAAGTATATATATTCTTTATCAGGATCAACAGCCGAGTCGATCTAGCCATGTCCGTCTGTCCGTCTGTCCGTCTGTCCGTCTGTCCGTCTGTCCGTCTGTCCTTCTGTCCGTCTGTCCGTCTGTCCGTTTCTACGCAAACTAGTCTCTCAGTTTTGAAGCTATCTGAATGAAACTTTGTAGTTAGCCTTGTATATACTCTCACTCGTATATATGTCGGAACGGGCCGGATCGGACGACTATATCATATAGCTGCCATAGGAATGATCGGAAAATTTTTACAAAAAAAATTTTAACTTTTTCAGTTTTCAATAGAATTGGCTCAAATTTGAGATATAGCCATTTTACTAAACTCTACAATTTTATATAAAATTTTATGAAAATCTGACTACTATATCATATAGCTCCCGTAGGAACGATCGAGAAATTAATACAATTAAATTTATAACTTTTTCAGTTTTCAGCTGATTTTCATCAAATTTGATTTATAGCCATTTTATATAAGTCTTACATTTTGTGTCAAATTTCATGAAAATCGGACGACTGTATCATATAGGAGCCATACAAACGATCGTTTGATGTGGAGGAAAAATTCAAATCAGTGAATGTAAAATTGCAAATATAATATGTATAGGTGAATAAAATGAAAGCAGGTATTACTTCATTGTTTTTGAACACAAATATATATAATTTATATTGTATGGATTCCTATTCATAGAAGTTCTATCTGCAAGGGTATATAAACTTCGGCGTGCCGAAGTTACCTTCCTTTCTTGTTCCATTTTCATTTCCAAACTTATCAGTTTGTGTGCACAAAATGCACTCAACACAATCGGCATAAAGTACAGGACAAAGTGAGCGAAAATCCATACCGGAAATAGCGATAAAAATGCTTCCGATTAGCTGGGCGATCCTGTTGCTCCTTCTGTCCTTCGGTGTGGTGAGTGCTGTTCGCCAGCTGGAGGAGAATCAGAGCACCAAGAATGATCACCTGCACTCCACGGAGCGTCAGGTGCGAAGGAGGACCAATAAGAGCAATGCCACGGTGGATCATCAGCGTCACCTGGCCGGAGGAGGAGGAGGTGGAGGTGGAGGAGGAGCAGGAGGAGCCAAGAAAAATAGCCGGAGACCAACGGAGGCATCTTCTGTGAGCCTGGATTCGGATGACTACGATTGGCTGGAGGCGGACACCAGCGAGGCCGTCGATAGCTCCGAAACGACGGCTGTGGGAACTGTGAGAGCTTCTGGAGAATCGCCGGGTGAGTTGATAAGAAGAATAAATGACCCAGTAGAGTGACCTTTGGCGGGCCCTTCAAAGGCAGCCCCTTATCAGGGGGAGTGAAAAATATAGAATGATGTATGACAAATTAACTTGTCAGGAGTGTAGTGGGGAAATATTTGTATACGTTTTATAAATATTGTATATATAGTTTAAAAAATATTTCTATAATTCCTATCACAATAAAAGATCTATATATTTTAATTGATGTGCATTTTCTAGATTTAAATAGATTTGATACTTTTTATACCCTTGAAGAGTATAATTTTAGTCAGAAGCTTAAAACTTAGTGAAAGATTCATTGACGACCCTATAAATCATATATATTATTGATCATCATCAACAGCCAAGTCGATCTAGCCATGTTCGCTGTCAAAATTAAAATTTCAAAATTTTTTCAACATTTCATAAGGGTTTACATTGTTACAATTTTCAATTTTTGACAAAATTTTTAAGTTTTTGATTGAGTATGCAGATTTATTAACCTAAGAAAAACTAATATAGGAATGTTTTCCGATTTAAAATAAATGGATTTTTAACTGAGATATGATGGATTTTCTCTGCAAGGGTAAAGAAATTTCACGATTTTAGCTGCCGTTCTTTGTATTTTATAAATCTAACAATTAAATGTTGTATAATAAGTAAAATTTCGCATTAATTTCTTTTAACATTGCTTTTGTTTTAATATTTAAAGAATGTTAAAATGTTCTACATAATTTTATATATTTACCGAAGAAACTTAAGTAAAACTATCAAATACAAATTTCTTTAAAAACCCACCTCAATTTATTAATGAAATCAGTATTGTATTCAATTATTATTCTCTAAAGGTAATTATAATAAATGACAAGTTGACACTACATTGATTGATTGTAAAATATACGCATTTGATTGATAGAAAATGTATTTATAAAGGTGTGCTGCCTTCAATATAATGAAATGCAAATATACACAAGTTGTTTTGATGAAATGTTATCAGAAATATACGTATGCCAGATTCCCCATCCTATCTTCATATAATAAAAACCATTCATTTTAATAAATTCCCCCTTTGCCATTTGTTTAATTTTCCCCTTAATAATCGAAGCCGAAAATGTAATTACTTCCACATTATCATATATTTCAACGCTTATTCACATTTGTTCATTCTGAGACCCGCATTTTTAGGGCTGGTCAGATCTATATACATAACTGTAGGAAATAAATACTAGTCACAACCCCGCCCACTTGGATTTGCATTTAAATGGAAGCACACTCCTCTCTCTCTCACTCACTTAATCAAAAGCAATAATTTTCTTTCTGAGCGCGAACGAAATGTTTTAATTGAAAGTGCTGATGATGATGATGATGACGATGATGCCACTGTTGTATCTCTATCTGTATCTGTAAATGTATCTGGCGAATGCGTGTTGGAATCAAGCATAAATTGGAACTGTGTTAAAAATTAGTTTAAATTGTGTGCAAAGCTGGGGCGCCAGCATAAGGCTTTCGAATCGGACTCTGAGTCGCCCTTCTCCAGGGACTTCCCCCTGTCTTGCTTTTTTTATTAACTCCCAAGCTCGAGTGAATTATGTATGGACTGGGAAGGGGTGCCCAGAGTGTGTGTATGATAAATGTGTTAGATTTCCAATGAAATTTTATGGCCTTCTCGTATATGTCGCCGCCGCCGTCGGCTCTTTTTTGCAAAAGGAAATTCCTTTAAACCCCCAACGAGTGGTGTTGTGAATCCAAAATGATTTGATTTGCGAATCATTTGAAATGCTTTGCATACAAATAGCTTACGATTGTTTCTTTAGATACCTATTAAACACTCATTTCTGTTGCATTCACGTTAATCAAATGGGTGGTCGGTCATTCACGAGGTCTCTGATGAAAGTATCTCGTAGGTATGAATGTATCTCTATCTACGCGAATGTCGGAAAAACTTTGCAGCGACAAATCAGTTGTGACACTTGACATGGGCCAGCGAATTGGATTCAGGGGATTTCTTTTATTTATAGAAGACGAACCATTTCATAGAAACTACTCAGCACAGAAGAAATTTAAATTTTCATCAACTTGATATATATACACTTTGAGATTAAAATGGGTTCGTTTTAGGGTATAAAATTATAGAGGGAAATAATAAAAGCAAAAGCAACATTTGCTTAGGAAATATATGTGATCATACTGTAGGTTATGATAGGGTTGTTTGTATTTTTTAAATAAATATATAATAATATTATATGAGTTATTAAAAAACAGTGTTTTTTGCTTGATAAAACTGTAATTTTTGAAGAAATGTATACTTTTATAATAATATAAACAAAACCAAACAGCAAACAACTTTAAATTATAGCTTTGATTCTTGCAATACATTGTTTAGAATATCCTAAAGCACTTTAAAGTATTTTTAATAACTTAAAAACATTATTTTCAGTATAATGCGTTGACAGTCAACTTAGATCATTGGCCACAGTAAAAATCACAAATAAAAATAAAAAAAGGAAGCCGCCAAAAGACTGCGCAACTTTGCAACTAAAACTGAAACTAAGATAATAAAAATAGCACTCAACAGCACACTATGACGGAAAAAAAGCACAAATGAAAACATTAACAGTTTTATAAATATATGGCAAGAAAAAAAAATAGAAAAACTGAATCAGAATTAGAATAAAATTGAATGGGGTTGAAAATGAAAACAACGCCCGGCAAATCAAAATGGCATTTTCCAAGCCATTTGTCACACATTTCGCATTCGCAATTTGAATATTTGAATCCATATTCACCCAAAATCAATGTTTCATGCTCATTTATTTCGGTGGACTTCAAAGTAAATGTTCTGCTAAAATTAGTCACTCAAAAAAGAAAGAAAGAACCAAACTAAATGGACTCGCTTGGCCGAAATGAAAATGGCTGGGCCAAAAATACTCGAGTAGAGAACATGGGGGGAGAAGATCTTTTAGCCGGATCCTTCTTTGGCAATTGCACACTTAATTAATGGGCAATGCTTTTGATCTTCTGTGAAGTTCAGTAGCCCCTCCAATTCCATTTTGCCAAGTGACAAAAACTCAAATTTTTCACGCACTCAAAACCGAAACTCTTTGAACCTCCACACAGTCCCCTTGTCACACGTCCCGGATTCTGGAGATCCGGAGATGGAAGCACGGAGAATCGGGGACATGTGTCGCAGATGTCAGACATGGGAAGCGCACTTCCAGCTAGAGATGGTTAAGGGATCTTTGGGGGGGATTTTTGTATAAAATTAATTACATTATTCGAGCCACGATTACTTACCATCTCTTCAAGCTAAAACTCATTCATATTCATCTCGCTAGGATAAGCTGGATTATCTTACTTGTAAAATCTAGAATGCAATCAGAATTATGTCAATTATGGGTAAGGGGCAGGTAGAACAAGATCTCTGATGAGGGGAAATATATCTAGGGTGAGGTATGTTTTTGAAGGGTTTTAACTTTTTTTAAATATTTAGTTTTGTGAAGATTTCTTCTTAAAAACTTTTTAAGACTGATGATATTTAAAACGGTTGTTAGTTACCGATAGTTATATATATATGGATATAGTTAATATCATGAAAAATATGTAAAATCATTTTAAAGGGTTTACATTCTTAGAAATATATAGTTTAGTGAACATTTCTATATTTAAGACTGATAAAAATAAAATCGGACATAAGTTACCTATCAATTATCTTGAAAAATATTTAAAACCTTTTTTTTAGGTTTTAACTTTTTAGAACTATATAGTTTAGTAAACATTTTTATGAAATTCAAAGCTAGTTTCTTGAAAAATATTTAAAACAATTTTTTTAGGTTTTAACTTTTTAGAACTATATAGTTTAGTAAACATTTCTTTGAAATTCAAAGCTAGTTTCTTGATTACAAAACATTTAGGACCGAAAATAATTAAAACTGACATTATCAACCTAAAAATTATCATTTAAAATATCTAAAATCAACTTTAAAAATATGTTGCTTGAAGGTTTAACAAACTTAGGAGGTCTATGATCTTTTCACTTTTAGATCTTGATAAGTAAGAAGACTTTTCAAATATTTATATATCTTTTACTGATAATTTTCTTGAATATATATCTAGATATTCTCTTTTTACTGATTATTTTCTTGAATATATATATATATATTTTCTTGAATATCTTTTCTTTACTCAAACATCGTATCACACTCTCATCTCTGATGGCTCCCCCATTTCTTTTCGCCAGAAAAAGAGCTCCAACACCCAATGAGCAATCTTCCAAATGAACCACAGCAAAGAGGGGAATGGAAAATAGGAGAAAAAACAAGCTATAAGTGCTTAATAAGTAATCAGTCACCAAGGCAAACTTGTAGATAAGCCGGATACCCTGCCACCTAATTAGTGCGAAAAGTGAATCCCCGTTCGCAGCGTGATTTGTGCCAGAGGAAGTGCATCTTCAGAAAGATACTCACATGTGCTCGAATCTCGATCGAGCTCCTTTAACGATCCTCTGGCAGATTTCGCGATGCTTTTGCCGTGGCATTTATTTAAAATTTAATTTACTGAGTGGTGTCAAAATGCGTGAGCCAAGCCATTAAACCCTGATACCGATGCACTCTTGCTCACTTACTTGTTTGTTGTTTTTCATTTTGCTCAATCCCAAAACATGCTCATTTTCTGTTTGTTTTTTGCATCTTTTGCAGATATCTTCACATGTTGCAATCAGGTCTTTGGCTCATGTCGCACAGCATGCGAAAATGTAAGTATGACGACGATCGGTTGTTGGGTTTAAGGAGGGTTTAACTCCAAGTCTGTCTTTGCATTTGCTCATATATCAGAGAAAAAATGCGTACGAATTGTGCAGCTTCAGTGGTTGCAACGGGTGGTATCTACAAACAGCTTCAGGCAAAAGTTTTATGACACGACCGTAAAGTTTATTAAGTGAAAAAATATAAAAACTGGTGATTTATGTTGGGAAATGGGCAATATTTTGTTGGGTAATTATATTGATTGAGAAAATATATAGTTATTATAGGGATATAAATTGCGAAAATCAAGGAAACATGTTATGATCTATATGTTGCGCTCATTTGATGTTGAAAATATCGTAGATCTATCGATGTTTTGCATTTTCTAATTTGAAAAAAAAAAATCCCATTTATATATTAAAATATCGATACATTAATTATTAAAATATATATATATATATCTGAAAAATGTAATTCAATTCAATTGTTTATTTTCTCAATTAAATTTTTGTGATACATTGAATAACATATTGATTTAGTGCTACCTTCAAATATATAATTCTATTTCTACTTAAAATTCATTATTAGATCCTATCGAAAATCTATCATAACTATGTATATTTAAAATATTTACATTCTTTAAATCAATATTTACCAATATTTTTATATGACATTTTTTCGAAACATCAATTTCAAAAACTCATAACTAAGCCAACAACGCATAAATTTCAATTCGGAAAGCTCTCCTAAATTAGTTTTTATAAGCTTAAAAAATCTGCATACTTCATTGAATATTTAAAAAATATTTAAATTTTTGTAAACTTTTGAAAATTTTAACGATTTTAACGATTTTTTAAATTTTAAATTTTCAAAAAATTTCGAAAATATATTTTTTGACCTAACATGGCTAGATTAATTCGTTTTTAATGCTTATCAAGAATAGGGTTGAAAATAACTCCTTCACAATGTTACAATCTTTTGAAAAGGTATACAAATTCTATAAAAACTTTTAAATTTTCGAAATAAATCAAAAAACATAATTATTGACCTCACATAATTTTTATTAATTTCCTTGAGGCCTTTTTTATAAGATTTACTATCCAAATATTTATGCTCACAACTATTTTTACCCTTTACGGTATACGGTGTGTGTTTGGCGAGGCGCCTAAGCCAAACTCGAAGGGAAATGATGTGTGTCTGTCATAAATATTAAATGCCAGCCAGGGGCTAGCTATCCAGTAAGAAACACCTCGGACAGGAGATCAGATACAGATTGGGACAAGCCGATAAGGTGGAAAACTACTGATCGAGCCACAGAGTTGATGCATTTCCTGGTATTTTAATGTCTCGTCTCTTGCCTCTTTATGAATGGCAGCGATTGGTGGTGCATACTAAGTAATATGCATTTAGAATTCAATAAGCGTTGATCCGACGGACGACTGTCACACGAAGAAAAGCCATCGAGAATTATTATGACAGGTTTTTAATGGTCGCCACGATTTCGGTGGAACTTTGAATGTGTTTTATATCCAAACATCCGTTCAGGCCAGAGCCTTGAGCCCAAAAAAGAGAGAAATATCGGTACAAATTGCATTGTTAATTAGCATAAAACTGGCCAACAGAGGTAATTGCGGCTCAAAAGTTAAACTCAGGCCAAAGGCCCAGTCTAAATCCAGTAAAGAAAACCACATTGTTGTCATAGTTTTATTTTTGCATAACAATTAAAAACTGGTAATTAATAAATTAGATAACGAAGTTAGCTTGAGAAAAATATGCGTATAAATTGTAGAATAAGTTGATATTTTAGGAAGCTATGAAAATATATTTAAAATATTTTTTTAAATAAATTCAGAGTGCTAAGAAATTTCTAAGAAGGTTTTATATATACTTTACGAGGCATAGAATGATTTTAAGAAGAAATTTTTTATGTATAGATTGATTTTTACGAGATCAGAATATTTAAATTCTATAAATTAATATCCTAGCTACTTATTTATTACTGAAAAATATGTATTAATTAAGAAGTGCTTAAACATTTTTTCCCAGTGCCTATTGAGAGGCAGACCAACCAGTTTACCACTCAAAGTCATTCATAAAACCCAAGCCGGCTGAAAATCAATTTGTTGTCTATGAGAAGTGAGTGTCTAGAGTGTGTGTAGTGTGTGTTGTGTGTGTTGTGTGTGTGTTGAGTGTGTGTGGTGTAGTTGGTAGCCTGGTTCAGCTCAGCTCCTAGCCCCCGTTTTAGTTAGAGGCAATCAAAATCACTGACATCATTTAACTTTGTAATCATAACAATTTTCCCCCCAAAACCAATTAGTTTTTCCCAGTCCAAAAAACAAAGTGGGTTGGGGGTTTTGCCAATTTTTTTCATTTAGAAATGCAAATGAAGGCATTAAATCTTTTGGCCAAATTGAAACTGACAAACAGGATAATGCACACAGTCTGAGAGAGAGAGAGAGACCGGTTCGTTTCCCATGGGCGTTCCCTCTTAAATCCACTTTTTGAATTGCTTTTTACCAAGTGGGTGTCGTAGAAATGGTAGAAATATCAGAAATAGGAGAACCTCTCCTTTGATATCTGATTCTCCCCACTCTAAAATTATTCTCTTGGATGTGTGAAAAGTCGAACATGAGACAATCTATCTGAAGATAAGTGAAAATTTACGCTCATTTTATTATTGACAAAATAGTCTTTTGTCTGATAATTGTTGAAGGTATCCCTATCTTGATGATGGGATTGTGGTGCCAAGGTGGGCAGGTTGTCCTCGGGTTTCCTGTGGGATGCCCTGTATTTATCCACTGTGGTGTGTGCGGTGTGTGTGGGAGTGCGTGACATGGCCACGGACACTTCATTAACAAAACTGCAACAGACAACGCCAAGAGCTCACAGAGAGGGGGATTCCCAGCCAGGAACACACATGCCAGAAGTGCGTACCTGACAGGGGCGTAGTTGTAAAAAGGGTAACATGCAATTTGGCATAAACTCAGAGGGAGGAACTACTACTATACATAGACATGTAATTAAGTTGGAAAACTACAATTATTTTATTTAAATGGTGATATTAACAGTGTTGAAAGGGAAATTAGAGTATGCCAGATGGGAAAAACAATATTGGGGGTTTTTAAAGGATGTTACTCTTAAGGTATGTTTCAAATCTATTTAAAAATATAACCAAATTGCTGTTTGGAATTCTGTAAAGTCTACAAAATGTTATAAATAATAATATATAGTCAGTATTTAAAGGAATGAAAGTGTTACTTTTCAAAATAGAACCAAATTACTGTTTTAAATGCTTTAAAGTCTAATAAAAATTATATATACAAATATAATATTAGTATTGAAAGGGTTAAAAGTGTTGAAAGGGAAGTGGAAAAAAATATTGAGGTGTTTAAAGGATGTTACCCTTAAGGTATCTTTTAGATACTTTTAATAGTAGAACCAAATTACTGTTTATAAATAAAAATTTAATAATAGTATTGAAAGGGTTGAAAGTGCTAAAAGGATAATTAAGGTATGCCAGATGAGAGGGGCAATAATGAGGCTTTTAAATGATTGTTACCCTTAAAATTCTTTTAGATACTTTTAAAAATAGAAGCAAATTAGTGCTTAGAATACTTTAAAGTCTAGAAAAATATATAAAAGAAAATATAATAATAGTATTGAAAAGGTTGAAAGTGTTGAAAGGGGATTAAGGGTATGGGAGAAATGAAAAACAAGGTTTTTAAATTATGTTAGGTATTCCAGGTACTTTTAAAAGTATAATAAAGTACTGTTTAGAATACTTTAAAGACAAATTAAAATATATATCATATATCATATACAAAGATATGTAAATAGTATCTTTCCCTGCTTCTTACTTTATAAATATTTTTATAATTTAACTTAAAACCCCTTTCTAACCACGCCCCAGAGGTTTATGTTAATTTGTATTTATGGCAATGCCACCAGGCTCAAGATCCAGACAAGTTTCTGAGGACGACAAGCACACGAAGTATCTGGGATAGACATCGCTTTACTCAGATTACTGTGGCAGATATGCCCCCCGTCTCAGATATTGGAATGAGAATGAGCCTGGAAATTTGTTATTGAAGTTTCCTCGGGACCCGGTTCTTTATCGATAGAGAGTGTGAGACAGGCAGAGAGATATATTGAGAGAGAGAGAGGGAAGGCTGTAAAATGTTATTTATGATGGTGTCAGGAACAGAACAGCATTCAGAAATGTAACATAATACCCAAAAAAAAAATTGAATAAAGAAGAAAAATCCGCACAAAACTGCAACCTGCATGTTTTTTTTTTGAGGAACAACTGCAAACCTGAGACTCTCTCGACCCTTAATTTAACCCCAAGCACTTAGCGAATTAGGGGATTAAAATACCAATAAAATTATGATAAATATTTAAAGATATTAGCATATTATATTAAGTACTTATAAGCTTAAAGAATGCATTTTCTAAGCTTATTTTTAAAGAATGCATTTTCTAAGCTTCTTTTTAAGATATTTACAGCTTAAACAAAGTATCTTTCTGGTTAAAGAATACATATTTAAAGTTTCTTATCACTTCCTGTTTATCTTATAATTTTTCCAAGTGCTTGAATTAAAATACTGCCAACCTGAGAGCACTTGAGACCCCGACACAGGTTGCGGGTCAAGAGCGGGTTAATCGCTTTGCCAATGATTAAGTCTGATTGCGATTAATAACTTGTTGCCTATGGCAATTTATGCATATTTTTTTCTTTCCAGTTATCTCTGGTTGAATATGCCACTGGTGGCACTGCTGATAGTCGCGAGGAGCTGCGAAAATATTGTCAACTCCACCAGGTGGAGTTCTGGACCTGCATCAACCAGACCCTCGATGGTGAGTGTTGCTAGGAGTATACTCTTTCCATTTACTCAATTTAATTCCTATTCCGCAGCGGTATCCCGCGGTGCGGACTGGTCAGGCAGGCGTTGCTGCCAATTTGGGGTTCTGCCACATTGTCGCAATGCCTGTGCCTCCTCCAGCCATTCACCTGTGCACACCTGCCGGCGCAGCGATGAGCAGACGCTGTACGATTGCCTGGAGCGCCAGGAGGCGGCGGATCAGTGCTGTGGTCAGGCACGAACTTCCGAGTGTCTAGAGGTAATTATTAAATATTAATCTTAATTTATCAAATCATATACATGTGTAAATAAATATTTGCAGGCCTGTCGTGCTGTCTTTGAGCCCTCGAATGATAATCAGGATCATGTGGACATAAATGGAGCCTGTGGTGAGCGCAATTTGGACGTGGTGCAGTGCATCCACAATCACACGGATATGACACCGCTGACCAATGCCGAGCAGTGTAAGTCTGTCCAGCTTAAAAAGTAGTATCCGTTCATGGATTAATACCCAAAACTCCTCCCATAGATATACCCTGCTGTGAGTATAGCAACAAGGAGCATTGCCGTCACACCTGCCGCAATTTACTTCGCCAAAACTCCACCAGAATGGAGAGGAGCGAGGTGATCTTCTCGCGTCTGGAGGCAGCCGGTTGTGGGTCTCCTCTGCCGCAGTTACCCTTCTGGCAGTGCTTCCTCACGGTCACTGGGAAGCTGTATGTACCGGGGGGCTCGGGAAGAGCTGGAGGTTCCCCCTCCCAGAGCCGGCTGGGTGGTAAGGGAGGTGTAACCCTCGGGGAGCCCAATCATCTGGGCATGGATGCTGCCAAGAGGCAGTGCTGCGAGCAGGCTGGCAGCCACAAGTGCCGGCGTCTTTGCAATCAGATCTTCACCAGCAATTGGTGGGATGCCAGGACCAGCTTTGAGAACGAGTGCATGGATCAGCCGGGAGAGAGGGAGTTGCGTCGCTGCATTGACAGTGTGGATGCTCCTTGCGAACTGGGTTGCCAGGGTCTCAGCTTCTGCTCCAACTTCAACAATCGGCCGACGGAGCTCTTCCGGAGCTGCACACCCGAGCATGATGCAGCTGCTCGAGAGGATCTGCAGCTACTGCAGCAGCGAGGAACCGTGAGGGTGCTCGGACAGGAGCTCTTCATCAAGAATACCAGTCGTTGTGCTCCGGAAAAGTGGCAGGCTTTGGTCTGTGCCCTCCAGCTCAAACCCTGCACTCGCGTGGATCTCTTCAATGGCATCTGCAGTGAGGATTGTCACGAGCTCCTGGAGGAGTGCCTGGATTGGACGCGTCAGCATCAGAGACCCAAGGATATTTGCTCCAGGCTAAAGGAAAAGGATGAAGATGCTCCACTACCATGTATCTCACTGGAGAGTTATCTAAAGCCAGGGGATTCCACTGCAGAGGAGTCCCAGGGCATAACCTCTCCATGCTCCAAGAAACCCTGCAATGGCAGCGAGGTGTGCATCCTTCAAAGGGGTGGACATCAGGGATACTCCTGCATACCTGGCTGTAATCTGGGACAGGATTCCAAGCTCTTTGTGCCCTTTGGCTCGTATGTGCGACTGGGAAAGAGTAATCACAAGAAAATCGAGGTGGGTCAAATGCCGCTGGCCGAGCACATTGTCTGCTCTTGCGGCTTAAAGGGTCACCTGGAGCAGTGTCAACCTTTACCCAGTTACAGTCATGCCCACTGCATCCTGCCTGGAGGCAGGAGCTATCGTCATGGTTCCTCCTTCTACCTGGAATGTAATCTCTGCAGTTGCTTTGCCGGTGAGATCACCTGCACCAAGCAGCAGTGCCGGCTCCCGGGATTTGCAGACTCCGGTTACACCAGTCTCCCGTGCAATTGTCCCGCTCATTATGTACCCGTTTGTGGCTCCAATGGGAACACCTATCCCTCGGCCTGTGTGGCCAAGTGTCATCTGCCGGAGGGAGACTATGTCTATGGGGCCTGCAATGCTCGGAATGCCTGCCAGGCAGCGGGTCCAAATAGTTGTCTCCAAGGAACACAGTGCCTGGACAGGAGGAAGGTGTGCCTGGCCAGCATGCAGCGTCCCTGCCTGCAGTATGTGTGTGGTAAGTTGGAGAGTTAACTCTTACGATTATGATTTAATATTGGTTTCCATTACAGTCAATGCCACCGCCTCCAATTGCTCTTCGTTCCACCAGGTCGAGGTATGCGACACTCAAGGACGCACCTATCCCAATGCCTGTGCCATGCTGCAAGTTAATCCTCAGGCTCAGGTGGCCTATTGGTCTGCCTGTCAGTCGAGCAGGACGGTTGCCTCTCCCTCACCCGTTTGTGGCATCAATGGAGTGACTTACAAGAGCAGTTTTGCTGCTCGAGCGGAATACGTAATCGTTGACTATGCGGGAAGATGCCGGGAGGTTGGTTTGCTGGCCAGCGACATGGGCAGAAGGTGTCGTACTGTGGTGTGTCCAGCTCCCGTGTCCAAGCACTGTCGATTGATTGTGCCCCCCGGAGCATGTTGTCCTCTGTGTGCTGGAGGAGCTTTCCGCATTATATACTCTCGAAAGCAGTTCGATCGAGCCATGTATGGCCTGAGGGCGCAGAGCAACACGTTGCTTACGCTGCATGGAGTGCTCCAGCAGTTGGATGGACTGGTTCAGGTCAGCGAGTGCCAGATGACCGGGTTCCTTACCATGGAAGTGGGCATCTTTGTGGCCCTCGTACCTGCCAGTAGTGTCAAGCGACCGACACGCCTTCAGCTAGAGGCCTGTGCCCGCGAAGCGGAGAAGATATCATCCTTGATCAACGCCCAATCACCCAGGATTACCACGAATCTAGCGTTATCCTGCCTGACGGTGTCACACCTACTAGAACCCACGCCAAATGGAGCATCCGCCAGTGGTGGTTATCCCACCATTTGGATGATGCTCCCCCTACTTTTGTTAGCGTTTAGATTAATCATAGCATAGGCTAAGGTGTTAAGGAGCAAAGGAGCCTGTATGATTTGACTCAATCAAGTGAATTCTTGGTGCCAATTAATCTGTTAGTATAAGGAGATGGAAAGTGCCTTCAACTTGTTAGGAATTGACCCCTCTAAACCTTGTGATATTAGCTAAAAACAACAAAACAATTAATTGTTAAGAGAGAACCGAACCCTCTATCATTAGTTTACTTTGTATCAGGAAATGATTATTTAATTTACTTAAGAGAGCAAGAATCTTTGCTCAATGATAATTAATTATTTGAATCCCTGGTTACGTGTTCATTATTGACCAAAGCATCGTCCGTCTAGGAGTTATCACTAGTCTAATATAAAAATAAACCCAAAAATAAAAACTCACTTTATGCGAAGCATGGCTTCCTTTATTGAACCACTCCAAGCAGATCCGTAGAGCCAAAGAGCTCGTATTATAATAAATGTACGTGAAAAGGGTAGAAAAAACGATGTCATCTAAGAAACCTCCATGGGCACCACCGCCTGGACACGTTCGGTGATGAGCAGATCCTTGACGCTTGTGTGCAGAATCGGTGTGGCGCCTTGCTTGAAGCGGTAGTCCAACTGCCGTTCGCCCTTCTTGTTGGCCAGCTCATGGTTGCGCAGATACTCCACGCTGCCCTTGCGGATCACGCACAGATCTATGTTGGAGCCAGAGCCCAGATCGTTGAACACACCGGAAGCGATAGCATCACGCACCAGCTTTTTGCCCTCCTCCTCGGACATGTCGGGACGCCAGCGACTCTCGAACACACTCATGGCGGCCAGCGAACCCGAACCCATTGTGGCATAGGGCAGTTTGTCGGAGCTACCATGCGGATGGATGGAGTAGATGTGGGGGCCAGTCTTGTCCACACCGCCGAGAACCAAGGCGGCACTGATGTGACCCTGGTAGCGGAACAGCATCTGCTTCAGCATCACATTGGCGGCCACCACGCGCACCTCGCGCTTTGTGGCCAGGCGATGCAGCTCCAGCTGCGAGGAAATCAGATCGGTGGTCATCTCAGTGTCCGCAGCAGTGCCAGCTCCACAGCAGCTGTAGCGGTAAGAGAATTAGGTTAAATATAATGTATATTTTAAGTGCACTTTGCAAACTCACTATATATTCTTGGCCAAATAATGGATCTTGGCGCAATTCTTGTCAGAGACAATGGGACCCTCGGTGGCACGCGTATCGGCGCCCAGAATAACGCCATCCTTGAAGATTATGCCCACGATGGTGGTGCCGGTCTTGGTGGTGGTCGGTGGCTTGAAGCCTCCCTTCAGAAGTGTCACATTGCTGCGAAAAGAGAATTGGGGAATCTTGTTGGAAAAGCCGCTTGAGGATTGCCGAAAGCCGCGAACTCTGCTCACCGCTTGCAGTTGTCGAAGTTAAAGCCCGCACGAGGCATGTCGCGGTTGATATCCAAATCCATTATATGTGTTTTTTGTTTTCTACTAAAATCGCGAAATGAAGTTAAATTTTACGAATTTCTTGCCGACGGAATGACAAACAAAATTGGTGCAGTGTGACCGTGTCGCAGAGTTTAAAATATACCATTCATCGCCGATGCGATAGATTTTACAGTAATTCATCGATGAGCTTTTTCTCTTCGCAGTACCATCACAAGAGCTTTGCAGCCCTGGAAGAATATTTTGCTGAATTGCAATGTCGGCGGCCACAAAATTACATAAAACCAGTTGGTGCGCGCTTAGGCAACTGCAACAATATCGAACTAAAGGTAAGTAATACTAAGTAATAGAGTTTTCATTGAAAAACACCTGGGAAAGTGGTTTATGTAATGCCGGTGGCCGATCACATTTAGCGGAGCGCCACTTCCAGTGTTGGCAACATGGCGGAGTCTCAGGTGTGAAGAAAAAGCTTAAAGCTAAAGAATATAGCCAAAGCAAAGCGTAAACTAGAGAATAAAGCTAAAATAAGAACATTAAAATTAAAAATTAAGTTTTAATAAATCCCCTTACACATTACAGCCACCCTAAGCGGCAGTTCTGCCTCTATAGCCAAGCGGAATGACCTTTTCAACCAGGAACAGCGACGGCAACGGGATGCCGTGGGTCGCATCGACAAGATCGAGGTGCGATACCTGGGCCTGCCCGAGGATGTGACTCTGGTGATGAACAGCCACATCTCCACGCCCTATAACTGTGCCCAGCATCTCAGCGAGGGTCACTGCAAGCGTTCGGCTCTGGCCCTGATCGATGGAAGTGTGCCCTGGGATATGCACCGGCCGCTGCAGGAATCTTGCACCCTGCAGCTGCTTAACTTCCATGTTTCAGAGCCGCATGCAGTCAATAAGTAAGTGTTTCTTACTATTCTTCTTATTCCTATTGGTTTCATTTTCATATTTTGCTTTCTTGCAGAGCTTTCTGGCGCACATGCAGCTTTATGTTGGGAGCCGCTTTGAACAGGGCTTTTAAGCCAGAAGCTGGCCTCCAGCTGCACAGCTTTCCTGGACCAAATAGTGAGCTTAAATATAACATAATATTAACACTGTTCTTATTTAATTGTAATAATTATTTCTTGTAGTTAAATCGGGCAGCTTTGTGCACGATATTGTGCTGCAAACCCAAAATTGGCAGCCCTCTAAGGAGGAGATGCGCGCCATTTCCGCTGAGATGGTTAAATTGGCCGCCCAAGATCTGCGAATTGAACGCCTCGATGTTCAGCAAGATCTGGCTCAGGAAATGTTCAAGGATTCCAAGTACAAGAGCGAACAATTGCCCAGCATTGCACAGCAAACCCAGGGAAGAGTAACCCTGTATCGTCTTGGTGATCATATCGATATCTCGCGTGGTCCCATGGTCGGTTCTACCAGTTTTCTCGGAAAGTGTACAATTTCAGCAGCCCATAAGGTGGCAGAGGAAGGTGCTGCCGGCGCTTTTTATCGTATTCAAGGCGTTGCCTTGCCAAGTGGTTTCCAGCTTAATCATGTTGCTTTCGGCATACTCGAAGAGAGATCTAAGAAGCCGGTGAGTTTGTCAAACGTTTATTTTATCCCCCTTATACTATTATTAAATCCCCTTATATATCTTTATATATATCCCGTTATTATATAGAGCACCGCTCGCCTGCCCAATGAACCCTTCGAGGAACAACAACAACTGCAATTATCTTAAAACGTTCATTTAATATTTAAAGTAATAAAATAGAGTAAACAATTAAAGAGCGTCCTCACTTGTTACAAAAAACATAACAATCTTTGAAATCAATTTTTCATTACAAACTTATCATTTGACATGAAACATCTTTTGAAATCAATTTTTGATTACAAATTTATCATTTAACATACTCATTTTTTAAATCAACTTTTGATTACACACTTATCATTTAACTTAACTTGGATAATGCAGCTTTGGAAAGAGATATAATTAACAGGATGTACTACAGAGTTTTCTGGCAATGGAACACTTTTTGGTAATATTTAAAATCATTTTTAAATCCCTCAAGGGTTTTAAAAACAAATTGAACAATACTTTCCCCCATTAATTTTAATATTTCTGGACCCAGATTAAGATCTTTATCTTTAACTGTGACCAGAGACTCTTTTATATTTTATAGCGATCGTATCTTCTACGTATTTATATACATATTTCTCTATATATATATATAATTAATGCTTGAAGATAGATCTTGGAGATTCCAGGAATAACTTTCGACTTATTCTACTATCTACATAAGGACAAAAGGGTTAAGTTAAGAAATCTCCCCTTTAGATTCTCAACTCTTTGAAAAAACATCGAACAAACCCTGCAGATCGTGTTCATTTAGGGCAATTACCAACATAATCAGTCCACCGAGAAGAATACCAAATATTTGTATAATAATACCCTTGGGATCTTTGGCCATTTCCGGATTATGGGCCACACTCATCGTGGGCACCAAATCGGCAAAGGCTATGTATAGGAAGGAACCAGCTGTGGCTGCATAAATCCATTGGGTCATACCATCACCGATGCCGGCAATGAACAAACCCACGGACATGCCCACAAAGCTGAGAACTGAACTGATAATGTTCATATAAATGGCTCTTCGCATGGATACGCCGGTTTGGAGAAGCAACGCAAAGTCTCCTAGCTCGTGCGGCAATTCATGGCAGAGGACGGCAAAGGCAGTGGCAAAGCCCGTGACCGGATCCGTTGCAAAAGCCGCACCAATGGCCAAACCATCGGTGAGGTTGTGCAGGCCATCGCCAATGATTACCATAAAGGCAACCGGCGTAAGTGGACGATCGGGAGTCTTCTCATCCAGCTTGGCCTCCTGCAGCATTACATTGAGTTCGCGTGGCACTGGAAGATCGGGAAGTTCCTGACCAGCTTGCTTTCCCGTATGATTGTGATTGTGACTGTGACCATGTCCATGGCTATGTCCGTGTCCCGACTTTTCGCCTTTGAGCATGGGAATCAAATTCTCCAGCATGTACATGAAAAGAGCTGCCAGGAAGGTGCAACCACAGAGAAGAGCAGCTTCATTGCTATGCTTGTGATCCGATTCCAAGGGATTAATGCCAGTCACCTCCTCCTCGTGCTTCTCCTCCGTGAAGAGAGCATGTGGTAGCAGATGCATCAAAGCATCGCCCGCCAAAGTGCCCACGGCAATGGATACAAGAAATTTGAGAATTTCCTGGTAGGCCGCCGTCTTCATTAATGGCACCAGAAGAATTCCCAACAAGCCGCAGGCGGAGAGAATTACCATGGAGATACTGGCGGCAATCCAAGCTGGAAATTCAAATCTGAAATGTATTAACAGAGCATTTTCAAAGATTCAAAGGACACTTACCATACCAAATCTTTTGCTTCTTTTCCTCAAAATCACTGGTCTTTGGAGCCGGTTGCTTACAAACTCCATTATCAATTTGTGCCAACAAAGCCGGACAGAGTTTCATAAAGGCACGCGGCGTTATCCTCACCGAATTGATAAACTGATTGTATTCCTCCTCAGAGTTGTGAATGGTTTCAGCAGTGACGGTGTGATTCTTGCTGATTAATTTGTGATAGGCGGTATTCTTGTGCAGATCATTGTGATCCACCAGCAAGGATAGCAAGGATTTGGGCGATAAGCAGGCAGCAACGTTATCTGAAGAAAGGAGGAAAATGTTGTGTTTATTCTTTAATTTGCTTTGAGTACTTTACTTAAACTCAAACTCGGGAAAAGCCATTACGTTCTAGATTCCCAGTTGTTTAGTTGTTTTACTAAGGTAAACTTTCAGGTAAGGGGAATTTTCTTGAGACCCTTTTGTTTACTTCTCCCTGGCATTTGTGATGCCTTCTATGGAATTACCAATTACATTTCCCGAATGCCGTCACGTTGACTTTCACATCAGATATTGTTATTGTTAACCAATTTGCATGTGGCGAATTCGTCATAAAGTCAAGTTGTTTAGTGTTAACTTTATTTGGGACATTGTTGTAATGACTGTGTGTGTACACTTCAATTAACTGTAAATCCCAGTGAAGATAACTAACAAAACGAAACAATTGAGGTTTGTTTGCTTTTTTTTTATTCTCTTCTGTATTGTTACTTTTTGTTTTTGGATTTCCGCATTAATAATGCGTTCGTTTATCGTGTTATCGCCCTGTTTTCGTCGCCCGCTGACAATGATCTTTCCTACCAACTGATTTACGGCTACATTTATTAACCCAAAAGGAAATGGTACTATATGTATATAGAGGTACATCTGATAATGTATACATATATGATAATTTATGCGACAAGGCCGCGGCCACAGACGGAACTTCCTATCAGCCAAATGAGATGGGAGGATGGGATGGCATAATTGAATTGATCATAGACCGACGTCGCCTTGCACTTGGAAATCGGCCAATTGATGGAAAGAGTTGAGTCCCAGCTTAAGCTATTTATATTCTGATGCAATGCCATTCTCTCGACCTGGATGGGTATTGTCCCATCAGGTATATGCACATATATGCAGTAGTTCTTTATCATATTTGCACGCTTATAATTGCTATTCAAGTAAGCCTTAATCCAATGTTTCTTTGAATTTCAATGGGATTTTGCAGATACTTGTTGATATCTGTCAGAGAGAGAAATCTAGCCTACTGTTTATGACTCTGTTGTTGTTTTTGGTCGTTGATATTTTTCTTAAGCTATCTTGGGAATCGGTAAATAAATACTATGGCTAACACCTAGACGGTGTCCATGCCATAAAGATAATGCCGCGACACCTGAAAAGTACATAGATATGGACTCACCGTTGCTCTCCCTTGGGTGCCTATGCCTGGGGTCGTGTATTTCCAGGAATTCCGGTATCTCTACTGGCCCTGACTCTGACTTTGTGAGATTATTGTTCGTGGAGATTTGCAATTCCAGAGCTTCCTCATCGGTGGAGTTGGTGCGTGCCGGCTCCTCCAGGAAGTTATCGGTTACATTGTGGTTAATGTTAGTGGTTTCCTTTGCATATCCTTCAGGTCGATGCTTTTCGATCGTATGCGAGGGATCAAATTGAATTTGTCCCAAGTTTAGGCTGTACATCAAGTGCTCAAGGCCCTGGAATGGGGTAATTTTAAAGAATATTTATGGGTGATATTTTTTTGTAAAAAATTAATTATATTTTATAAGAGGGGAGGAGTTCAATGATTATAAGGTTCGAGACTTGAGTTATTATTGCTGATTACAGCTTAGCAAAATTGTTTTATATCCATATGTACCATTCATTAACTTTTTTCCATGATTTAACCATTCAAAATAGTTGTTTAAAATGTATCTAGATACATATTTCTGCAGCGAGGCATAACATTGGTCCAAAGTTTCATAATTGCTACTGAGTCATACTAATGATTGTTTTGGTATTTGTTGTATATATATTATATCACATTATCCCATATTGTTACTTTTATTTGCTATTTCCCGCTATTATCTATAAGCACATACTGTCTTCAACCTTGAAAATGGTCAAGTGTCGAGAGTAATTTCAACAATAACAATAGGGTTTCTCCTCGAAGTTACTAAAGAGACAGGGGAGACAATGTTTTATTATGATATATTTATTAGCTCAAGAGTAGCGCAGACCAACTGTCAAGTGTTTTGACACAGGGAAATGTCCCAAAAACCTAAATTTAATGAAAATCTTAACCTATTCAGTTTCGAAACTATACTTTTTCCCTCCCATAACAATTCTCACACTCACTATTCTCCGCTAATTTGTCAAAACAACTCAAGTTGTTTTCAGATCTCATCTATCAGAGATAATTACTTGATTTACTTGTCAACGTGCCAAAGCAATTATTATATTTACATCTGAATTCATTGTGTTTATTTGCATTCTATTCGAATTGTCGCATTTTTACTGTCAGACAAAATAGAGAAATATGCAAAGGGGGTCTGGGGAATTGCGTTGATAGACATCTGTCCCCGGATGATGAGTGGATTTCAGGCATTCCCTTAACCAAGATCAGGATGTCGAGAATTTGCATATCAACAAACTCAACAATTAGGTAGCCACGCGCTGGCATATAAAGAAAAAAGTAAACAAAAAAATCTAAACTATTTATTATGGAGCCCATGAAGTCGTCTCCGCCAAATCACGATTATACTTTCATTCAGCGAAAAAATGTGCTATTTATATCCTATGTAACTGGAGATTGGTGATATTAGAATGATAATAGAATAAAAGGAAGGTGGCGGGTGGCAGCCACCTCCAATGTTAGTATGCCGAGTGCGTGAATAGTAAAATCACTTTACTAACTTTGCCATTTAAATGGACACAACGTATTGCGTAGCCAGTACGCATGAGTAATGTCAATTGACTCGAATAATAATATTTATTCGAGTCCATAAGCATAACGATCCGTATGTGTGGAGGGATTTGTTGCGAAAGTTATAGAGAGCGAGGTTTCATTAGCTGCTGTTCCTCATTAGGAGAAAGAATCTTATCATCGGCGTAATCTTCTAATCTCTAAGATGATACAAAGGAGGATTCGAGACTTGATACGACATCTCATGTGGATGCTCTCTCTCTCTCAGGTCGCTATTATATATCACAATGTTCGTTTGTCTGGATTTTGATTAAATTTATGATAATGCCCGCAATAAAGACTTGCGACGGCTATCTTCATGACGAGACGACGACGAGAGCTACTTTGGGTTATAAAGAAAATAAAATTACCCCTCGCGTATATAAAGATTACAACCTTTTAAAAGTGACGCGATTATATGGAGCTGTTCGAAAAAAAAGTGTGTTGTTTGTTAACTTGGTCAGAATAACACACCGAGACTAAACACTTTCACAATACAACAACAAATATTTGATTAACTTCAATTTTGTATAAGCCCTGTCTGTCCCCATTGTTTTTGTTGCTGGTCTTCGTCTCCCCTCTTCCAAAATAAACTCACTAATTTTTTGGCATAACATTTAAATGCAAAAGCATTGTATGTGTGTGTTTACAAGGCTAGTTCGATGGTTTATTGGTTATTACCTCAAAGTTGATTGTACCACCATTGCCGTATTTTTGGAATATCTGGGCCAGATACCGATTATATTCCGTGGCTGCTTTTATAGGTCCAAAAGCGCAACAAAGGCTTAGGAGAATTAAGATGCTTAACACTTGCCTTTTGGCCATCTTAAAACTGAACACTTGATTGTGGTATAATTTTTTATTGATATATTATATTTATTTATATCATTTCCCAGTGGTAACTTTGGCTTTTTCGTAATTGTTTTGATTTTTTCGAGTTTTTTTGTAGACACTTTTTCACCGACTTGAGCTAATCCGTACCGCTTCGGCCCAGTACCGATCCCGTTCAACGGTCTTTTGAAATGTCAGTTGCGCCCACGCAACGTTTTTATATGACTTTCAGCGAGAGCGTTCTCCTTTCTCGCTCGATCTCTCTATTTATCTCTCTTTCCCTCTCTCTCAGCGTGTGTGCGCCGGCTGCTTTACTCTGCGCACTCGCTGTAAACTTAACTACGATTCGCACCGCGTTCAAGCTTTAAAAAGCTTTCGCTGGTTAAGGAGAAACCGTTAAAAATAGGGTTTGAAAATTTCTCTGAACTGAATGGTATCAAAATATAGTTGTTTTTGCTGGGAAATATATCGAAAAAGTTCGATACAATATCGAAATCATGGTAATCTTTGATATAAATAAATAAAATTGTGTTTAAGTAGTAAATTCTAATGGAAATATCCGTAAAATTGATTTATTTGTATGTTTTTCCGTTTATATTTATCCGATTTTTCAAACAGAATATCATTTTATTATTAAAAAAATGTAGCAAAGCTGAAATATCGATTAATATATCGACTTCCGTGTCAAATATCGATACCGTAACTATAAATTGATACTTTCTGCCAAGGCAACATCACACTAATATAATTTTTGGAATTACAAACCAATTTAAAAAGGCACATATTATATATTTAGTTGTTTTTAAAATTTTAAAACACAATTTATCCAATTTTTCAGTTGGAAAGATTGGGATAAAGTGATTGTTTAAGGAAGTAAACGTCTTTTATAAGAGAAAATAATTTGGAAAATAATGGTAATTATAAAATAGTTTGTTATATTAGGAACTAAAATGCAAATAACATTTTAATATTATTAATTTTAATGTGTATTGCTTATTTATATAACCCCCACTAATCCCATTTAGAATATATATGTTATTCAATATACATATAACACCATTCAATTGCTATATTTAGTTTTGTTTATTATTAACGTTTCTTATACAAAACAAATTCGATTTATACATTTTCGCAAAAGTTGCTTCAATAATAATTATTACTTAATTATTAATAATTAATTAGCTCCTAGTTACGTGTATAATGTGTAAAAATTGGTTCGCTTTTTGTATACTAGACATGTGTGTATCTTCTTCTCTTCTTTTGTTTGCTGAGTGCTGACGAGGAACTTCTTTCTTGGGTGAAATATACAATAGTTTGTAAAATAAGAGCAAATATTAATAATAATAATAGTTAATAGAATGCATTTGAGTTATTTACAATAACACTTTTTTGTAATGTTGTGCGTAGGTTTTTTCTGAATTTTCATTTGCTTAACCTATCTTATTCGTTAATTGAGACTTAGACTAACTACAAGGCAATCCCCTTGATCGAACCATTCGCAGAAGGCACTCCTCTCTTTCTCTCTTTGTTGAGTCCTAGTCGAATTTCTCCTGGTTGGGCATACAGATGAAGAACTTGGAACACCACAGATTGATTGCCTGCGAGGTGTCCGCCAGCCACTTGACCGGATTGTGGATGGTCAGATAGTAGACTGGAATGCCGGATAGGATGATGATTGTGCCCACACCCACTTCGTATGGGGACTGCGAGCAGGAGGAGATCACCAGGAACAGGCAGACGATCAGGTAGATAATGGGCAGTGCCAGGCTAACCTTGATGGGTCTCTCCGTCTTGGGCTGTTTGTAGCGAAGCCACAGCAAACCGGACACCGAGATGAGTGTGAACAGGGCCTCCACATAGCTCACATAATTGATCAGTACGTAGGTATCCTTGATGAACAGCAGGAGCAGTGTTATCACGCCCTGGAAAAACATAATTGAAACATTAATTTAGCATAATCTTTCAGATGTGGGATTTCCCTTAATGACTCACCAGGAATATCAGCGAAGGCACCGGCGTCAGGCAGTTGACATTGATTAGCGAAATGGCCGCCGGCAGATGTCCATTTCTTGCTCCCACGAAAAACAATCGTGAGGAGGCAAAGATCGCACCATTTAGCGATCCAAAGGTAGAGCAGGCCACGGCAAAGGGCATTATCCAGGACAGATAGCCCAGCATCTTGTCGCCAAAGGTCACAGCAACAGCATCCGATGACAGAATCTCATCCGGCGACAGCACCGAAAAGTAGGCGATATTTGTGATCATATAAATGATCGTAACAACAGGCATTGAAATGCAAATAGCTTTGGGCAGATTTCGGTAGGGATCCTTTAGCTCCTCGGTCACAAAGTTCAGGTAGTTCCAACCGGAGTACGAAAAGAGGCCACTGTAAAAGGCCAAGGCAATAAAGCCAGGTGTCTGCAGACTTCCAGCAAAGGGTTTATTCCAGTGCTCTGTATTTCCATCCAGCAGCCACCAGACACCGGCGCCGACAATCACCAGTAAGGCAACCACTTTGGTGCCGGTGAAAATGTCCGTCACACGTGTCACCCACTTGACATTATAGCAATTGATAACGGTCAGCACACCTATAATGGGAGCAAAGATCGAATAATTAGTCAGCCTCAATGGATTTTCACTTTTATTATTGTCATTATAATGATCTTACATATCATGGCAGCAGCCAGTAGCTGAACAGCTTCAATGGGCGCCTCGCAGGAGGGCCAGAAGGGTTTCAGCAGATACTGGGCAAAGGTTAGGGCAGTGATGGCATTACCCGTGGGCACCAAAATTAAAAGGGCCACCCACAGATAGAGAAATGCGGGGAGAGGTCCAAATGCAATGCCAATATAGGCATAATCTCCTCCCGATTTTGGGATCATTGTGCCTGTGAAGGGATTGGTAAATATACATATATAAGCAGGAGTATATTAAAATCAGAGATTTATCAGTATTACATTTTAATAGTCTACAGTTTCGTTATAATAAGAAGAGGTACGTCTTCCTATTAAATTTATTCTTGTTATTGATATAAAAAGAGTTTTAGAACTTAAAACTTTTAATCAACTTCTTAAATTGTAAGGTCTTCATATCGCTTACTACTTTATCTTTATTTTATGGATAAATATATAAATAATAGAGCGATAGTGTAAGTAGGTCTCACCATAAGGTGTGTAAATATTGTCAAACTGATAAGCGGGACATAGTTCCGCTAATGTTAGAAATATTTGCCTATTTATCGAGGGTTGTTTAAACAATTAGTGATCATTTTGGACATATGTTATTGATTATTGGATTATATGGCATTTGTGCTAACCAATTTAATAGACATATAATAATTCTTATTGTACTCAAGTTGCTCACAGCTAAGCTAGTTAAAGGTGTTAATTTCAGATATTTATGATTGGTTAAGAATTGTTAATTACAGTGCTTCAATTGCATGATTTTTTTAAGACTGTTTTAAGGGGAAGCTTTAAAGGTATATTTTTAAAAATGATAATTAATTAAGGGTGTAATTCATATAGAATTCTGTTGTTTAGTATATTTTTGTATATAGTTAGGCTTAAATTTTTTATATCTCATATTATATCTTATTATTATTATTACATTCTTAAACCCTTTAAAAATCCCAAAAATACCTCTCGCTATTCTTAGACTTCGCACCCAAAAATTATGTAAATTTACGTCTGCCGCCAAAATTTATGGAAATTAGTGTCTGCCAGGTTTTAAATTCAAGCAAACGGGTTTTCTTTGATAAAGAAGTACTTGAGTAGAGATGACGTGAAAAAGAGAATAAGCTTATCATTAAAATTCTCTTACTATTCAGGAGATCTTTTTCTCTCTTAAAAGAGAACTGATATGAACTCCTTGAATTGAGGGGTTAATTTCTGGTTATTTAACCTTGAAATTTAAAGTAAAAAGGGTTGAAAATTCCCAACTAAATGCGTAAAAGCAAATACATTAAAGAACACTGTATATACACTGATCAGTGCTAATTGTTGAATAATTGAATGTTTTGTCTGGTTGTACTTCTCTAAAGAACCATCAGATTCCCCTCTTTCATTCTTCATTATGTTGGAAGCTGATTTTGTTTATTAATATAGTCTTTCTGCCCCTTGAAGAGCGCATCTTGATGAGTTTCAAGCTAATTTCCATGCTTAAATTCACTGTCTCCAGGCTAATTGTCTGGAGTACTGGCTAATCTGAGCTATACCTCAAAGGTCATTGTGATTTTCTGTTTCAATTTGTCTTAGATCTGAGCCGATTTTAATTGGAACAAAGCGGATTATTCTTGGTTTTTCCATACCCAAGTTAGTGACAAAAAAAATGGAGGATGCTTATTTTTAGCTTTGCCAAGAAACAGATGTTGAGGGAAGTGTTCTTAAAATGCATTGTAAATTTAATTTAATTTATACTTTAATTTGATGATGAGAAGAAGGGGAACTTGAGGTTTAAAGAACTTTAATATAACTTTTTATAGAAACAAACAATTTAAAGAATATTCTAGTTTTTAGTTTAAGGAACTTTAAAAGTACTTGTTAATGAAAGAAACGATTTAGAGAACATTCAAGTTTTTAGTATGAAGAAAAGAATCATCTTTACTTTTAAACAAACTCTTTTGAATTTCTCCAAAAGCCACAAAAGTATTTTGATTATTCCGGAATGTATTTAGTTCAATATCATCAGCTTATGATATAATTTTCTTTTAAATTATTCCTCTTATATTTCTCTCTGTGCATTACAATCTCCAGTCTAGATTTGCAGATAATCTCTGGCCTTAACCTCCTTGTCTTTGGATTGCAGAATTTTTCCCCTGACTCGAGCACATTTTTTGGAATGTTCTCTGAGCACTTGCTCTAGTTCTTTTCGTTCTTTTTAGTCTCTTTTTTTTAATACTGCTTGCTACAGGTGCTTCAAGCTTGTCTTACACCTATGTAAACAACTTCCCCTGCTTCTCCCACATGCTCTCCATATGCTGCTGACCCATGAAGTGCTGTCATCAGCCAGAAGCAATAAATGCCAGCGTCGCACAAGTTTGTTGACACTGGGCGTGGGCTCATTATCGACTGGGAAACTATTCCCAAAAAAAAAAACGAAAGTATATATAAATATTCCACAAGTGACCCCTTTTTACATGGCCCATTACTCACCCAATTCCGCGTAACATAGGGCGCCCACCATGCTGAGGACACCGCAGAGAACCCAAACGATGAGCGATTGTCCAATGGATCCAGAGAATTTGAGTACACCCTTGGGACTGACAAAGATGCCGGAGCCGACGATGACGCCAACAATGATGGCCACTCCATCCAGAAGACCAATTTGCTTCTTCAGCTTGACACCGGAACCCTGGCTGCCACTATCCGCCGTGGAATTATTGGGTTCCGCCGGCGGAACCTCAAAGACCTGGCGGGGAATCAGGGAGTCACTGGCCTGAACGCGAGCCATATTTTTGTGAAGGATTTTATAGATCTTAGATTTGTTATTTCTTTTAATTTGTATATTTGTTATTTGTTTTTAAAGGTTTTCAGTTGGGTTCATTGCTTGAAACTTTGATAATTGACACTTTTTGTGGATATTTGATTTGATCCTTTCTTCCTTGAGGTTTCTTCCTTTAGGATTCTCACTTTAACGATCTTTAGCTGTTGATTTACTTGATTTTATCTTGGTTTAACTTTACTTTTACTTGTGGTTTTTGTATATTTTTTTATCAGCTTTGGGTCTGTGCCAGCGTGGAGCTTCGAATACAGTTCAGTTGGGTTCAGTCCACATGGTTTTTTTGTGCTGTTGTTGTTTTTTGTTCACTTATTTCACATATGTACACACAAGAGCACACACTATATATCAATATATCCAGAGACCGATAAGCTATATAAGGGGAACACACGTGGTTTCATAGAGTTCGCATCTTTGTTATGGAAAAACGTGTCTTTGATTTTTAATGCGAATGAAAATAACACCGCGGGTTACAGGGACAACCGCTCGCTACACGCTCCGAGTTGAAACTAAGTTTGGAATATATATTTTTACCCCCCTTTATGAGCACCGATGTCTGCTGCCAACGTCGCTGCCGGCGTTGCTTTAAACTTGGGCTTTGCATTTGCCGTTTTTCTTTTTTTTTTTTGTTGTTGTTGTTGTTTTATGTTTGAGTTTCTTTTATATTTTACTTCATTTTATGGACGGGCAGCAGCTGCTGCTCTCCCTCTCGCGCGCTCTTACCTGTCGCACCTCATTAGGGTTACCTGTATAAGGCGCACTCACTCACACAGACCACTTTCCACGGCATCCGCATGATGCAAGAAGCCGCAAACATTTCGCTAGAAAAGAAGTTTTGTGGCCAAAAATAAAGCACGTGTAGCCGGCTAAGAGAAAACTCCCTACGAGATATACTCTTAAATTAGTTTCTCTTACACCTTAGTCATTGACCTTTTGCAGTCAATGGAATTCATAGTTTGGCAGCTGATAATATTTTAACAACTTTGTTGTCGTTTTATTTAAACTAGGGCTAAGGCATGTGCCAAAAACTATTAATATCTATATCTGGTATTTATATATCCGCAATTCCAAGCAATGTGACATTTATTGCAAGTGAAACTTGCCACAAGCCATTAACGGTTGCTCTGCAAGTGCAATCATTTGACAAATAGAGAAAATATGTACTTTATTGATCGTGTAAATATCTGTTTATCGTTTTGTCTTTCTACATATTTTTAAAAGGTTTTTACATGGATTTCCATACTTTTTAATCGTTTTTTTTTTATGAAATTTTTAAATGTTCTGATAGTGTATTTGTTTATATTTATTATACCCTTTCAGGTTATTATAATTTCAGTCAGAAGCTTGAAACTTAGTGAAGGAATCATTTCCGACCCTATAAATCATATATATTCTTGATCAGCATCAACAGGCAAATCTTTCTAGACATATTTGGTAGAAATATAAATTTTCGAAATTTTTTCAAAATTTTATAGGGTTTTATAGTTAAAATGATAAAAAATTCAATATTTTTAAAGTTCAATTAAAGTAAGCAGATTTATTATCCTACTAAAAACTAACATGGGAAAGCTTTCCGATTTAAAATTAGCCCATTTTTGGCTTACATATGAGATTTTTAAAATTTGATTTAAAAAAAAAAAAATGTTCATAAAAAGATCGATAAATATCGATTCAAAAAATGCGAATACTTTAAGCTTGCTTGATCGTTTTTCAAAATAGCAAACTATATATCTATTCGGTTAGCTAAAATAAGTTTTCTTTCCCGTTTATTATTTGTCTTTAATTTTAGAGTTTATATTTGAAAATCTACTAATTTTTAAAAGGTTCTGTTCGATATACTTAATATAATATAATAATTTTTTTTATATAATTCTAAAGATGCTTTTACATTAACATTAATTTTATCCTTTTCTTTTCGAATATGAAAAGGATAAAATATATACTCAATAATACTTTAGGAAATTATCAAGAAATTCAACTAAAGTTTCCTAATCTCTTTTAACCAATAACCACTGTTTCTACCTTCCTGATTTCCGCTTAGGTTAATTTTTGAAAAAAGAGGAAGTCGGCGATAAGAAGCCCTAATCTCACTATAGCTTTGATTATAGAGCTAAACCATATCAGTGAATCAAATGTCAATTACTTTAACTATCTGAAGCATAAGGGCCTCAATGGACTAACCGCAGTTTGCAGAGATTAACCGACTTTTGATGGATTGGATAGCCACAAACCTCTTGGGTAATCCACTCCATAAGGCTTCCTTCCCAGCCTAATCTTGCCACCTTTTGTTGCGCATTTGAAGGCAATTTACTCCCAATTCGGATTCAGATTCGGTGGTCTCATTATATAGAGGAGTGAACTGACTTTTTGTTAGACACTTGAGCGTATTATCATCATGAAATGTTCAGAGATAGTTCCTCGCGAGGAGGCGATGGAGGAGAGCGTGGGGCCATATGCCATTGCCAGGCGCGTGCATTTGACATTTCAAACTGTGATAATTCAATTGTGTGAATCGTGAACCTTTAGTGTTGTTCGCCCGTCTATATGGATTAGCTTCCATGCGTCTCCCGCCCTCGGGGTCGCCATAAAAAAAATAATAATAATACAAATAATAAACAAAACAAGTGTAGCGCCTCCTCCGCATCGCCGGTTTTAGTAGCTCCGCTCGATCAGCCTAACTTGGATCCATGGAGCTTCTCCTCCTCCGCCTGCCTGCCTGCCGGTAATCTAATTGTAAAAGATATACACACACATCAGCAGCAGCACCCCTTGTGTATCCATAGTGGTGTCCATAGCCACAACAAACACCAGTGGTTCTGGCGGTGGATCCGTTCGGGCCCCCGTTTGTGGTTGATTAACTGTGATTTCGTGTGACTTTTATTGTCGAAACGTAGCTGCGGGATATCAGCCTCTAATACCCTAACAAAGAGGGGTGGTATAGCTACCAGATAGCACTTTAACATGTGATATGATAAAAAACATAAAACATAGCACCAGCTATAAGTTAATGTCACGAAAGGATTAGGAATTAAATTAGAAGTTTTTAAGGTTTCTAAAAAAAGTTAATTATTCTTATTTAATATGAAAATAATAGTACTTGTTCAGTAGAATTGATTAAATATTTAATTGGTATCAAATGATATATTGCTAAGTAGCATAGGGTTTATTTCTAGGAATCTAAAAATTCCCTCTTTTATATCAAAGGGAGTTAAAAAGAGTCCATCTCCAAGGAGTTAAAGGAGTTAATTCTGCCTTGACAAAGAGTATTCTCTTGGTTCTTTGTCATATATTTATTTTTTTTTTTGTAAGTTTATCACTGCACACACCCACACACACAAAATATATATATTTATATTCAGATGGAAGGAGAAATATGATGGATCACTTCCATATGCAATTTTCGTTAATATTTCGGTACTTTGCTTCCATCATATAATGCCACGAGTCAAGTGTTTTCATGATCATCCATTTTATATTCATTTAAAATGTAATATAAATGTACTTTCCAAAGAAGACTTTATATGTTTGTATTTTGATTAATTTGGAAACCGGAAAATATATTTTTCTTGTGGGAATATCCTAGATATCCATCAGAATTTTACAAATTTCAATATTACGTCTTTATACGTTTTGAAATTCCGTACCCTTTCACAGGGAGAACCGTAATCCATTCGCTGTGATAACCCGAAACACACTGAGGACAGTCCTCACTTCCCCATCAGGGGTTTGCTCTTTCGGGCGAGAATAATGTTCCCAAAAAAAGCTTTAATAAAATAAATAAATAAATATGTAAATCATGGCATTTGTTTTTTCGTTTTTTAGAGACAATTGTTGGCCTTTGTGTGAGTGAGGGAACTGACAAACAAAAACATAAACAATTGTTTGTCTCTTTTAGGGAAACGTTCTCAATACGCATGTTCCTCATTTGCTAAGAGAACTAAATCCCAGAGACTAAAGAGAGAGTGGTGCAAGTTGCACTTGATATGCACTTTTCTCTTGGTTACAGTAGAGCTCAAAATAATAGTATTTGTTTAAGGATTAGGTATACAAATTTGATCACTTATAGGTGCTTTCTATAATATGAATGGTGGGTAATCAGGCAAGGATTGGGGGATATATGTATGTAGGTAGCACAAATCTGTCGTTTCTTTACAAATATATTGAACCAATATAATATAGATTTTTCATACAAAAATCGTAATATTAAAATATCGATTTACATATCGAACTTCGGTATAATAACAATTTCATAAAGAATATATCATAAACTTTAATATGCCAAAAGTTTATACATTGATAAATATCGCATTAAGCGTAAAACTATTGATATTATATGTCAGAGTACCTTTTTATAATAAAATTTGGATATTTTAAAATATATTCATACACTTTTGTTTATAAAAATAATAAGTACTTTTGCTATAGGAAGATTTTGAACATTTTTCCAAAACAAAGAACAATTTCAAGACTATTATTGCTCCCACAATTGTTTCAACTTTTGTTTGTTCTATCTTTAGTCGACTTTTGCCTCCCGCGCACTCCTTTATTTCTCTGTAAATAGGACAAAGTGGGACAGGACCACCCCTTGGGGGTCGTTGCTCCTGGCTGCCAAGTCAAAAGTACTTCGTTTTTGTATGTATTTCCTATATTTACATATACATTATGTATGTCCAACAATTAAAAGTCCTAATTAATCGCCCAGCGGTGGCACCCTGAATATCTTGGCCATTTTGTCCTCGGAAACTGTCAGCAGCAGGTTATCCTGCGGTCTGTACACAAACTCGTAAATGTGATAATGGTGACCGGTTAGCTTGAATTTAAGTGATCCCGTGCGTGCATCGAATGCATTCAAGTTGCCCTGCGATGTGGCCGCCAGTATGGTGTGGTCATTCAGCCACTTGATCCTAGAAAAGGAGTAGCATTAGCAATCCCAAGCTAGATTCAATTACAAATAATACTCACCGAAGGACACTATCATTCGGCTCTGGAATCTCACAGACCGTACGCAGCGATGTCTTGGCATAATCCCAAATGGAGATTTGCCCATCCAGCGATCCGCATGCAAAGAGCTTGAGATCCGAGTTGGCGGGAGCAAAGGCCAGGCATTCGATGCTGTGCTCCGACTGAACCGTATTCACAGGACCATTGTTGGTGCAAAATAGGATCAGACCTAAAGAGGAAATACTTTTGATTAAGAAATTCATGTGAGGGAATACTCATCCTACTCACCCGATCCTTCGGCGCAGATATAGAACGGCGAATCCCTCTCACAGTCCACCACTGCATGCGTGATCTCGCCAAAACCCAGGGAATGCTGCTCGTTGACCTCCATCAGCACCTGGCAGGTCTTCAGGTCCCACAGCTTTACATGACCGTTCAGGTATGCAGTAAAGAGCTTCTTGCCATCGCCACTCAGCTCCCCAGACTCGCAGCGTGAAGATTGACCCGGCAGGATTTTGCAGTCTCCGCCAGGAATGCGCCACACGTAGATATCACCGCTGTCGCTGCCGGCCAGCAGAATATGCGCAGCCCGGTGCCAGAAGAGCCAAGACATGTCGCTCATGGAGTAGTCCCAAACTTTGGCCAAGATGGGCCGTTCGTCCCGCTGTTCGCTGACCTTGAAGGCAAATAATTCGCCCGCCATGTCTCCGGTGACCAAGTAGGCACCGTCGTGGCTAAAGTGTGTCTCCGTGACAGTGTCCTTGTGCTCGGTGATCTCGTGGAGCACCTCTCCCGTGGCTGTGTCCCAGACATAGGCACGATCATCCTCGCTGCCGGTCACAGCCCAGTTGTATGTCGGATGCAGGCTGCAGGCGAAGACCGGGGCCTTGTGTTGCTTAAATGTGACCTCCGCCTGGTCTTCCAGGCGTGCTATGCGCTCCATGTCGGCACGCTCCTCCTCTTCATCTTCGCTGTCGCCTAGTCCGCCTAGGCGTGCCTCCAGCTGCTCCAGCGTCACCTCGTCGAACTCCTCCTCGCCCTCGTCGCCCAGCTCGATCTCCTCCAGCACTTCGTCGTCGCTGTACTCGATGTCGGGGCGATGCGGCGGTGTGTTCTCCTGCATTTCGGCCGCTATTTGTTGTTAACTCTTTGTTATTATTAAAAGTGAAACAACAGCCGCACGTGGCCAGAAACTGTGATAAAGTGACAGACGGATAAGAAACTGTAATAAAACGGGTGTGAAACTTTGATAAACGACTGGCAACGCTGGTAGCTTGAGACAGCCTTGCCAGACTTTGAGGTCCCAGTGATGGAAATCCCCTTTTCCCGGTCACACTGTTAATTCGGCGGAAAAACTTGAATTTTTGAAAATAACACTCAGATATAAAAAAAAACCCAATTCAATTTTAAGCAAATTTTAGTAAGAATGGGGAGGATACTAATTTGATATTAACAGCGTTTTGGACAATATACAAAATTTATTGGTATTTATATATGATTTTGATATGAAATAATACCAATCTAGGAATAAAAGAATGTTTAATATACAGATATATTTTTTATTTTGACAAACCCATTAAAATAATTAAGATTTCACCAATTTAATATAAGTAATTACTTTATTAAATAAAATCGGTGTTTTCATAGTTTTGTGTTTACTTTTTGTGATTTTATTGTTGAAATTTATTATATAAGCCATCTTTAAAAGATCGAATATAAATAATATAATTTTAATTCAACAGATAATATATGTATGCTTAATTTTCCTATGGAACAATGCAATTTTCTTTAATAATTTTAAATTCTCTCTTTCAAGTTTTCTTTAAATAATTTTTTAATTGTTGTTCTAAAACTTTTACCCTTTTGGCCAAGGCGTCCATGGTGGGAAAATTAGCCAAATTGCAGTTATGGTGGCAGGAGAGAGCATTCGACGATGCTGCTGCAATCCCTTTACTCAATTCGTTAGCATTCTGCTTTAGGACTTCGTGTCGATCTTCTATTCTTTGGGCCAGGCTCCTATGTCGATCTGAGAGCTGTAAGATATATGCCTCCAGTTGTCGTACTTTCTCAGAGTCAACCTTCTTTTGATTTAACTTGTCGAGGCGCTCTAAAATCTGAAGCTTTTTCTTTTTAATTTCTTCATTAAACCAAGTTATATCTTGTTGTTCCTTTCTCTCCAATTTATCGGCAATGTCTTTTCTGCGGTATTTGATTTCCAGGGCCAACTTGGGTATGGAGTTATCTGTGAGGTTAACCAGGTCCTTTTCCAATTTATTTATATCTGGGTTTATGACTTCATCATCATTCGTGAGAGATCCTTGAGGGGAAGCCTCAATTGCCTTGATAGATTTATTCAGATCATTATGATGTTTTCGATACTTTTCGAATACCTTTTTTGCAGTCATTTGAAAAAGTTCGTGATAAACATGAAAGCTGCTATACCTTAGGTTTATATTTTCAAACGTATCCATTAATTTTGCTATATTTTGCTCTTGTTTTTCAGTATTGTTTGTTTTAGTTCTTTTAATCCCTTTAAAAGGTATATTTACCTTTTTGAAACTATTAGTATTCAGTTTTGATAAGTCCATGGTTCTTATTGATTCCATATCATTGAGTTTAATAACTAATTTACTTATATTCAAACTTAGGCTGTTGATAAGAGTCTTGTTTTCCTGAATTTGGCTTATGTTTTCGGATTGTTTTTTCAGTTTCTCAATTTCTTTGGCTTCCAAGTCGATCAGATTTTCCGTATCTGAAAGAGTTTTATTTGATTTCCACAGATTTTCTCTGACAGAATTTATATTTTCAGATAAATCTTGAAGGGACTTTATAGCTTGTATATCCTTTAATGAATTTTCCATTAAATTAATTTGACTTGCTTCCTCAATACAGCATTTATTGTTAATTTTAGTTCTGCTATTGTTCACATCTTGAAGAGATTTTGTTAATTGATTTTGTTGTTGAGAACATGTGTCCTCTAAGATTATTAAATTTTGCAAAAGACCCTTTAAAGTAATTTTTGATTTTGATGGAGTAAAATCATTAAGATTGCTTTGAAAATTAGTTTGAAAACTTTTAAATTGATTTACAAAAGCTGGGCAACATTTTCCAGATGAATAAGTGTAATTTCCATTTTTAAGGTGATCCAATCTGGTGTTCAGATTTCGATAATCAGACTCTATATCTGAGTAAACCTTTTTCTCTGAGGGTTTAAGGTCTTGAAGGTCCTCCAGGATATCAATACCATCATTTATAATTTCCACACGATCTCTGATGGATTTATATGAACAACAGCTTTGGTTTCTATAGTTCCCAAGCAATTTCTCGAAATCAGAGAATCTATTCATAAGATTACTCATATTTAGGCTGCTATTGATTTCATTGTGAATCCATCGACTGACATCGGTAGAAACTTGACAAGAATCTGTAATATTTCCAACTGAAATACTTACATTATTCTTTTTTGTGGTGGAGACTAGTTCAGGTTTAAAGGTGGAGCTTTGCTTTAAAGATTCTTTGGTTGACGTTGTGCTGGTTGTTCTGGATGTGATTTCCTGTGGATCATCAGACATGGGACACCAACCTTGCATCTGGCCAAAAGTTACCTTAATTTGGAGTCCGTCCTTATGCTCCTCGACGACAGAGAATAAATTCTGTAGGAGAAATAATTCGTGAACCTGATTCTCCCATTTGGCCACCAGATTTCCATACGATCTTAATCCTGCTGGGGAAAGGCCTTTGGGTAAGCAACCAAATTTTTTGTATTTATTCAGAGCAGCTTTGACCGTGTCCTGGTTAATTTTAAACTCATCCGATTCGGTAAAGTTTTCAACTTTATCACGGAGTTTTTCACAAGCCGCGATCAGTTTAATACAGTACTCGTATGCATTCAATTTTTTGTCATAGTTGGATCTATATTTTTCTACAGAAAAAGAAGTCCCCGCAAGCAGGAATATAATTAGAAATCCAAAGGGAATCTGCATTAAAATAAAAGAAGTTTGATACATATTAAGTGAGATATTTCTGTGGAGAATGAGTTAAAATTTATTTTAAATTTTTTCAATGCAACTACTATTTAAACTATACAGGTGATAAATCTGTGCAAATGTATCTTTTTAGGGGATGCTATCCTTATTTCGGTTGAGGGGTTACCTATTTACCATGACTTGACTGCTAACTTGTCTGCTTGATTTACATCTGATTGCTTTCATTCTTTGGAACCTATTGATAGCTCGCCCCCAACTCTCCACCTGGGCAACCTTTTCTAATTCAATTCGAAATGGCCTGGGTTCTCTTGTTACCCTGTCCCACGAAGGGTCTGGTGCATTTATTATTATTCTTTGGATGCACTTTGGCTGCCTTTCCCACGGTTCCTTCCGAACGTGTCCTGCGCGTGAGGAGCGCACGCATAACGTGCGTTCCCATGATCCCTCTCCACATAGGGATATGCTGCTCAAGAAGACCCTGAAAATGAAGGGAGAGAGAGGAAATGATTAGGGGAAACAATTCTAGGAGTCCTCCTTTACCTGCTGCCCTCGGTAATTGTAGAGGTTTTTATTGATAAGGTTCTAGGGTAAACATTAACGGTCGAGAGATACAGAGAGATTTATGCCAAATGGGGGTTGGTTAGAGATACTCTTTCCTATTTACAGGTTCTTTTATTTATTGTATTTGGGTTTTTTTGGACGTTACTTTTTCGATTTTTTGTGATATTTTTGTTTCCTATTTTTCTTTTGTAATAATATATGGGAATGGTTTTATTTGAAAATGAAGTTCTGTTACATTTGGTTGTCTTATGTATATTGTTAATCAAGTAGGATAAATAAGATTTGTTATTTAAATATAATCATAGTCTAATAGACTTGATTTTCTTCTTGGTTTTTTTTGGAATACAACTTATTATAATTGGGGTCTCTGTTATAAATCTAATTAGGTTTGATTTTCTAATTCAGTTTTATAATAAAACTTATATTATTTGGGATAACTGTTACAAATCTAAATAAAGTGGTAACCACTTTAGAAATTAGAAATTTAAATACTTAAATCTTTATATTTTATGTAGCTAATAAATATCTTTGATATCTACTTGTTATCTATTGATTTTTACTCTCTTTTAGATCTTAACTTTGAAGCATTTCAAAAACAAATTGGTTTTTAAAGATAAGAATAAGGGTTTTGTTGCATTTCAAAGATACAAATTAAATTTTACTTGTATTCAAAGATACGAATGAAGTATTATTTGTATTCCCTAAGATAAGAACCATTTATTGCTTACAAAAATATCAAATTAACCAGCATAAGTCTGCTGAGCTAATAATTCGTTACTTTCCATTCACTATAACTATTTAAATATAAGGCCCTGTTATCTGCTAAAGGTTCCCTTATGCCCGTGGCTGTGTCTACAATATTCGTCATAGGAATAGTTCCCAAATCACTGCTCCCTCCTCGATTTTATTATTATTTTTTTTTTGCTATGCGTAAATAGTCCCGCATCTGATTGACTTGGTCATGAACGGTCATTAAACTGCATTTCCAGAGAGGGGCGTGCTCTGCTGCCTTCACTCCACTCGCTCCCTAAGTACATATGTATCTGCATCCACATGTGTGTACTCCATATGTATATATATTTAATGTACTGAATGAATGTTACATAGGCTCCCCACTGGAAAAGGGAAAGGAGGAGGGATTCTCGTTTTGGGGTCCGCGAGATCGTTAAAAAGTAAGCGAGAGGCAGCGGGTCTTGTCTTGGGATGGTGTGAGAGACCATCGTTGGACCCTAGAGATGCTGCCGAACGTGCGTGTGGAGGAAGATTAAACGAAAACAAATCGCACCCAAGAACAGAAAGGAAACGCCAAAGTCAAAAGAGTTTTCAACGTCCAGTACACTTGAAGAAAATGGGAGAGTTTTACAAAGAGTTGGAGTTGGGTCCTTAGCTGAAGCCTAGATGTAGGCAATGGTTTTTGGTTAATATTAGGTGGTTTTAAGGGGGTTTCCCATGAGAAGGTTTTAGGAATTAGAAATTTAGTTTTTCTATTAATCGGTTTTATAACTTATGCAATATCCCAAGTCCGATGCCGGTAAAAAGTATTAGCGCTGAGAAGGAATGTTCTTTAAATCAGCCTACTCCTGCAAGGATTATTTCCCTTTGCCATTTTTTTGAAACCATGTTTTTTCTAACTAGTACAAATTTTAAATTTATAAGACATATTCAGTCAGAATCTTTTTAACCAAGTCAATATCTCTTAAATTAATATGATTATAATTTCAACAAATTTTCTGTATAAAATAATAAAGTTTTAAGTTCTTTAGAATAAAGTTAAAAAAAAAACGGTAAAAAGCAAATGGGTCACACGCTTTTATATCGAAATTACCACAAAAAAAAAAATCTTATAAATAATAGAACAAGAAAAGAAGCTATCTTCGGAACATCGTTATTTCTATATCCTTGCAAAGAATATTTATTACAAATCAGTCAAAAATGCATTAATTTCAATTCGGAAAGCTATCCTATGTTAGTTTTTATATAGTTAATAAATCTGCATACTTGATTTAAACTTTATAAAAATTTAAAATTTTGACAATTTTTTTAAAATTTTAAACCCTTATAAAATTGTCGAAAAAATTTCGAAAAATTTTTTTTCTGCCTGAGATGGCTAGATCGATTGGGCTGTTGATGCTGATCAAGAATATATATGATTTATGGGGTCGGAAATTATTTCTTCACAGGGTTTCATGCCTCTGACTGAAATACCAAAACCCTGGTATTGTTTTATTGCTTGCATTATATCCTCGAACCAATTTCTCTCAGTGCATTCGAAACGAATGACCTGAAGTAAACACAACAAGATCGTTCGGCTGCGGCGACGGCGGCGGCGGCGGGACGGGGATAACGAAAAAAAAAGTGATAAACATAAAAATGGTTAGTAGCCTGGCGACGAGCGGGAGATAACTGGAAAAGGGCCGAGGCGTACATAAATGCATGATAACAACAAACACACAGATACAAGAAAACTCTGCCTGGTGTGTGTGTGTGTGTGCGTGTGCGCTTTGTTTATCTCTATTTACGCGGCAGCGGCGTCAACGTCAACGTCGGCCGCGAGTTGTATAAAATCCGGCGCGGCAGCGCTGTGAGAGTCAGTGTTCAAGGAAAACCGTTAACGATCACATCATCATCATCAACATCATCCACTCTCCTCATCCCAGCCGCCACGCCCACCCTCGCTGGGGAGGTGTGTGGGCGGCGCAGTGAGGATTAATCAGGCAGCAGCTTTAAACGCGCTCCAAGCGCAACCCCCCCCCTAGACTACGTAGCGCCTTCCGTCGCGCCACGTCGTAACCTTGGTTGGTACAGAAGCTTTAAAGACCGCTTGGCTCCGTCGCAACGCCACCTAAAGAGAGAGAGAGAAAGGATTGGGTGGTGATGCTCAGGAGACAACAGGACCGGGCTGGAGGAAAGTGCAATGGTGACTTGGTGCGGGATACACACACACACACCCAGACGGAGGAGGAGGAGGTACACCCACTCACCTCCCCCCACGACGTTTGGGAGGAAAGCGTCTTCCGCTCAAGGACAATACACCCCACAATTTTAAATGTGCAATATGTTTTAACGATTTTGTTATTGTTGGTTCCACGTTCCTAGAACGTTAGCTGTGATTGTTAATTATTGATTGTTATGTTTTACACTTGAAATTGTTATTACTAAAAAATTCAAAACTCCAGACTGCCACGTTATCGTTCATACGTTACGTTTTAGTTTAACAACAAAGTCGTTCGCGTCTTCCATTAACGTTAAGTGCAATGTTTAGTTTTGTAAGACAAATAGTTTTTCCTTTGTTGAAATAAAACATCTCTTCATGGGAAAGCTAACAAAAAAAAAAAACAAAAACTTGATTTTAATTATTAAAATATTTTTGGGGTTCAAGAAGTTCTTGAAGATATAATTCTTTTTATGGAATTTTTGTTTTCAGAATTGTATTTTGTTAAACCAACTTATGTATTTACAGGATTTTCTTATAAAAGGGAACTTCTCTCTGAATCTGAATAATAACATTTTATTATCAATATATTATTCAAAAGTTTTATCATCATATTTCGCTTGAAATTACCTTTATTTTCTGGGGTTAGTATAGTTTATATATTTCTTTGAAGGCTAAATATATTAACCTAAAATCTATAAATATAAATATGAGTAACACCACCATTAGTTTTGTTGAAAATTATTTTGTACCTATTTGAAACTAATCTTTAAAAGCATTTATATATTTAAATTGAAAGTATAGTTCTTTACTACCTTGCAGGGGTATCAAAATGTCTTCTTAAAGGCTGAATTCTAAATACCTTTGCAAAGGTTTTGGTTAAATATGAAATTATATATCAAATTATATATTGCTATTGTGTATTCTTAAGATTATTATTCTTATTTTCTTTATGAGATAAAAACTAAAACTAATCTTACATATTTTGAAGCTAACATAAATTTATTTATCCTTCAGCTCAGCTCCTGTTTCTGCTCTTCCTAAAACGTCCTAAAAACGTGACCCATGAGCTGTTATCTAAACACTCATATGTACCCCTGATGGCAGTTTTCCTCACCCATTTTCAACACGTTTTCCCAAAAATTCAGCTAGATCTTTTTGGTTAACAGTAATCAGAAACCCTATACACACATGTGTTTGGTGCCGTGGGAATGTCCACACATCTTGAAAGGATCTGTAGGCAGGACCTTTCGCTTGTTTACACAAGGCAGGACCACATGTTGAACATCCCCCGATCTCTCTCACTCCCTCATAAATAATAAGAAATTCAAATAAGTTTTCATTGTTTATTTTAGTTTTTGTTTTCCATAACAAATTTCTATTCCAAGACATAACAATTAAAACCCATTTTTGCACAGCAAAAAAAAGGGATAATTGTTTGGAATATCTCCCGCCACCGCAGTGGTTACCCAATTGCTTCTTTGGAAATTTTCCATAAGATCGGAAAATCCCTGAAGCTTGCCGTCCAAGTCCGATGAAACCCAAAGTCGAAGTGCCCAAACTCTGGTGTACCCATCCCGCTGGAGTACCTAAGCTCCAGTCCAGTGAAGTTGTCCCAAGCGAAGTCGTTGAAGAAACCCCATTAGTGTTCAAGGTTGCGAAAGTCCCAAAGGAAGCTCCAAAGGATTAGCTCAAGCTTGGGCCCAGCGATCCAGGAAGTTCCACTCGATGGCGTAGGGTTCGCAGGACTTGGGTTGAATGGAGGTCCAGAAGAAGGTGCCGGCATTGGTGCGAGCAAAGTGAACGGGAACATAGTAGTCCTCCTGGTCCATGTGCTGGAGTTCACCGGATCCATTCTCATTGTAAACGATGACGGCATCCTCCTTGGCACACTGCCGGATCTCGTCGAGCAGACGATTCTCCAGATGCTCATTGGCCATGTTATCCATGTCATTGCTTAGCCATTCGAATTCGCATTCCTTCTCCTCGGAGGCGATGTAGGAGCTCCTCTTGGGCTGCTGCTCCTTCTTGAGGTTGAAGACGTGTCCCAGGAGGGGCTTCAGGAGGTTCTTGAGGCGGCGGGAAGGCGATACTTTGGATTTGTACATGGTGTTGAAGTTCTTCTGCTTGCTAATGGTCGACATTTGTAGATATTTTTCGTAGATATTTTCTTCGTTCTGTGAATGCGTGCTGAGATGTGCTCGCTGTGACGTTCGGATGCTGTGTGATGCTCTCTCTAAGACCGGAGGCGCTATTTATACATTTTCCGGAGGCTGCAGGCGATCCTGCAGCATCTCGACCAATCACAGGCCTTGAAACGCAGGCAGGTGCAAGGATCCGAAATTTCACACGTTCTTCAGTAGGCAGCAGGTAGGTCCTGCAGGACCTGAGATCCGAGATCTTGTGCAAAGCGTGGGAATCTCGAGACCATTTCTTCTCCTTCCAAGACAATTATGATCCCCCCCGGAGGATTGAGAATCCTTGGCGTGGGAACAGCACATTTTTGGCCTTCTCTCGGAGAGTTTCCATTATTGTTATGAATTTCATTTCGGATGGGTTCGGATTGTTGTTGGCAGTTCGTCAGAAATCTGTCGATCCTGTAACCGAAAACCGGCTACATTCTAAGCCAAATTTATACAAAATCGTGCACTTTCATTCTTATTATGTTTATTGTTGGTTCGATTAGTGATGGCATTGCAGAAATGTCCTTTGAGGCACGATCTTTCGGGGTTTCTCACGATCAGTTGGGCAACTTTTGGGTTTTTTCTTGGGTTAATATTTATTATGAACCTGCAAGTGGTTTTCGTGTCACGCCAGGGGGGTTCCTTTTCTTGATCATCTCTAGTCTACACGTTTTTTATGTGGCTTCACTCATTCAATTAATTTGGATGAGGGTATATTTTTTGTGTATGTGAATGTATCGCATTTATAGCTCATTTATTGTGATATGCGTTGATTTGTTGAGGTTCATATTTATATTTATAGCTTGAAAGAGGGGTTCCTAACTCGTGTTTAATTGCTACTGGCATATAAATATGATATTAAACGTGTTATTATTTTGATTTGAGGGGATGAAGCCAAGATGGGACTTGTTTTTGGTGAAGATATCAAGTTGAGTAGGTTTATAGAGTTTCTTCTTTAATATTTATATTATTCTATAAAATATATTTAAATTTCTATGCATGACTTTAATTTAGCCCAGCTATTATATATTCAAAATTCTATATGTTTCCATTTATTTATAGTTCCTTAAATAATTTGTATTGAATTTTTTAAATCTACAAAATAAGTTTAATATATAAACATATAAAATAATATTTATGTATATTATTAAATGATTTTATTATAGAGCCAAGCTTATAAATGAGTACGTTGGGCGTATACAAATTATTATTATTAATTATTACCATAAAATAAACATACATCGTTTGGACAATATTCACCATAAACGGAGATTACCTTAAATATAAATATTTAAAATATTTCCTTAAACCCTTGCCTGAGTAATAAAATTATTTGCAAACGTTAAACAATTTCTAAAGCATGTTTTATGTATATTTATAAATTTATTAAATATTTAATATTGATTTATTTATTAAATGCAATACAAAATTCTCTAATAATCAAGCTATAAAATTATAATATTTATTTTTTTATAACATATTTTTATTTGATTTATTGATTGATTTATTTATTTTTTATTGATTTACCAAATAAGTAGATTTTGTGGCTGCCTTTTTTACGCAAAATCCCTCTAAAGTACAGCTCCTGTACCCAAAACCCTGCGCCCAACTGTACCTAGATGTATGCTTTCAATAAGGAATTCTGCATCTGAATTAATTACTATATATATATACCTGAAACTATTTACACAACACACGCACAGTATTATGTACAAAAGTTCCCCCTTTATTTTTGAAAAGACTCACCCAAAGATCGAACTGATCCGTGCGGCCTTTTCGCATTTATTATTGAGATAGGATTGGCTTTGTTGTTGCTTTTGGCTCAGGCTCTTTTGGCCCTTGTTTTTGTTTATCATCTCTCTCGGGAACCTGGACCCTTTCTACCTGTTCCGATGCAATTCGAGATTTATTTTGTCCAGGGCCCAACCCTAAGAAGGAGCGCAGAAAACGAAAATCAGAAATCGCCGCGGGACAACAGGTTTTTCTCGGTTCCCTAAGCTTGATATTTTTTCTTTTTCGAGTGTTTCGAATCCACAGGTTCCGAACAGGTTTGAATCAAAAGGGAACAGGTAAAGGTTTTTTTTTTTTTTCCAGTTAAGGTTCTTTAGGCCCTGGCCTGAATGGCAATGGGCGGGGGTAAGAACGGATTTTTGGTTTACAAATTCTTGGAAAACCTTTAAGGAAATTACAATGACAAAGGGGGAAAGTTTGAATACGAGTTCCGAAATGAAATGCCAACACACAAGTTTGTTCAATATTAATGTTATGTATATTTATTCATACTCTTAAAACATAGATGGAAGACAATGATTAAAGCTGGTTGTTTATGCTTATTTTTTTTAAGATTTCCACTTGCAACGAGGATTTAAAGCTGATGCGGATGTTTAGAGACCGATTCCGGTGGAGTCTGGTTAAAGCTGTTTGAGGATGTTCAGGGATCTGGCTGTTGGTCCATTTCCTCGCTCACAGTTGGACGAGCTCAGCCTCCAGTTGCTCATTGAGGGAGTTCTCCAACTCCTCATCGGAGACGGGTTGCGGTAGCTCCTTCGGAACGGGAGTGGAAATAGTGATGCTGGTGTCCTTCAGGGATTGATGTCCCGAGGACTTGAAGATTTTGCAGGCCACCTTGAAGAGCTTCTTCACGGCCTTCTTGGGTGTGTAGATCTTCTTCTGGCAGACCACGGCTGGGCTGTAGGTGGTGTTCAGGAGAGTTTCGTAAGCCATTTTTTTTGTTGGAGTTTATTGAAGTCGTAGACTGGATCTTGACTGTTCAAAGGTGCGATTGAATGTGGTGTCCTCTGAGGAATGTCGCCTCGCTTTTATACCCAATCCTGGCGCAAAGCAACCCCTAGTCCTGGCCAATCAGGTAGCGTCCTGACGCAGGTGTTTTTTGGTTTCTCCAAAAATATGAGAGTCACGCATTCCCCTGGACTCTCGGCAGGTAGTTTTAGTCCCTTTTTTCATTACTGAAGCGACCCTTGCACGTGTGCAAAGTGAGGCCTCCACGCTGATGATCCTAAATAAATCTCTCATCGTGGGAGAGTATAATTTCAGTATCGGACGATGCGGCAAGCATGCACAAAAACGAGGATCGGGATTGGGATCGGGGATCGGGAATCGAGAAGAAACCATCCCTTTTTATCCCTGGGTTTGGTTCAGTAATTTGAGTGGTTTGTTTGCGGAGGACTCTGGCTCGAATTTATGCCTTGATTAGTTTTTGGCTATTAATTGTTAATAGGATGACACTGGAGGATAAAAGTGACAGACCCTCGTTGAACACATGTTGTCGAGAAATATTTACACGTCAACATTTCATTTTTTTGTGGATAGGTACAGGTAGGTTTTGGGTATCCTTTAAAATACAGTGGAGAGTCTTTGGGATTATCTTAAGAGTTTTCTAGATTTTTCGGTTGCTGCAAGTACGGAGAGATTTTTCGGGAGATTTGTTTAGACACAGGCTTCACTGTCTTCACACTTGTTTCTTTTGGTATGAAATATTTTCTTGGGGGGAAATTTAAATTTCAGATCGTGATGTAATTCTTATTTGATTATAATAATAGGAAAATATATTATCATTAAATTAGTGTAGGTCTAAGCTGATCTGGATATATTTTCTAATAAATTTAAGTCTTAAGAAATTACGATTTCCCTTTTGTTATTATATTAGTTAAAAATCTATAGTAAATTCTATATTAAAATGTCAGATTTAAATGTGGAGTTTCGAAAAATATTCTTGGCAATAACGGAGAATAATTATTTCATATTTTTTGTATACTGAAGGGCATAAGAAAGTATGTTTCTGTGTGAGAAGCTTTACTGTCCTCTCACTTGTTCCATTGGCTTCTCCCTTTCTCCTTTAAGAAACTAAATTAAATTTCATTTCGTTTCGTGTTGAAATTCAGATTTCGTCTCTTATTGAAATACTTGGTAGTTGTAATTTTCGGGAACTATTTCGTATTCCAGTCAAGTAGGATCTTCTTATGGCTTAGGATCCTGTTCTATCCACTTGGGGGGTGAAAATCTATGGGATCTTTTGCATGTTTGTGGCTCGCTTAACTATTCCACAGGCATAATTCCCTATAAACCCTTGAAGATTCAATTTTTGTGGCGTCTCAAGTGTAGTTGTCAGTGTCAAGTTTCTTGAAATTCAAGCGCCTGAATGAAGCCTGCATAAAATGCATAAAATCCCATTCCAAGCTAATTAGTTTCTGGACAAAGTGAAACCAAATATTGTAGATGGAAATGGTAATAAAATTGTGATTTGTCTGGAATTTTAAAAAGGAAAGATTTATGGAAGGAAGAAGGTATATAATTCAAGATAAAATAATAAATAATAAAGTTTATATTCAGTTCTTCAGGAAGGAGATAATTCGAGGTAAAATAATAAATAATAAGAAATTAATAATTCATAAAATCAATTGAATTTCGATATATTCTAAAGATCTAGAGATCTAGATCCAGAGAAATCGCTTGATATAAAGTATATTTATTGTTTAGTATCTTATTCCTTAGGTATCTTAATATGTGTGTTAAGATTATTATTCTGCTCAAAATCTGCGCAAAATAAATTCTTACACAACATTTTTTTAGGTTTGCTCGTTTAGTTTCGATTATTATTTATTTCAAACTCAGTTTTAAATGCAACCAGTATTATCTAGTTACTTCAATTGATACTCAAATAGGAAGGAATAAAATCACTGATTGGCATGCGGTTACCAGCATAGGAAGAAACCAATATAGTTTCCATTAATTCAAATCAGAAAAGTGCAGAGAAAACATTTCCAATGAGTATTCACTTTCTGAAATTTTCCCAATTCCCAGAAGAATTTCTTCAAAGTATCTTCTAAAAAGAAGATTTTTTTGAGAGTTCCTGTGGAGAGATGTTATGAAATAAATACAGCAAGTTAGGTTTCTGTTTTTTTAGTATTTTATTTTTCTTCTTATATATTCTAAGTTATATCTAAAATTTTACATGGAAGACAATGATTCTTAGCCTAGGTACCTTATTTTAATGACCCTAACAAACAAACATGGAAGACAATGATTCGACTTACAACTAACCTTATAAGCTAATAAGACACAAGGGATCACAATGAGTTTACGAATAGTAACACTTGATTGTGACAATTGAATATCAATTAGAGTTGTGTTTCCTTTGGATGGTTTTCCAAAGGATCCAATCTATGCCTAATATCACCCTGAGATTACGAACATGCGAAGCTGAACCCTGAGTCCATCCAACGACGACCAATGGGATGGGAGACACTTGCACTTAAAGCTGCCAAAATGGGTTCCATGGGTTTCCATGGATGATCTAGGCCTGAACCCAGCGGTCGAACTGTTGACGCATTTGCTGCTCATGATGCTGGCGGGCTCCCTCGGCCGAGGTCCAGAAGAAGGTACCACTGCTGGTGCGGGCAAAGTGAACCGGGATGAAGGTTTGCTCTGGATGAACTGGGATCACTGCCTGTTGCTGCTGTCCCGGCTGAACGATCATGGCCACATTGTTGGGACACTGTCGGAGTTCGGTGTAGAGTCGCTGCTCCAGCTCCTCATTGGCCATGTTATCACAACTGGCCGCCGGATCACGACGCATGTCCTCCAGCGAGGCATTGACTGCATTCTGGTTCTGGATCTCGGCGAGTGTCTTCCGGAGTAACTGCTTCCTACGCACCAGCCGCAGAAGGGGTTTGACCAGTTTCCTCAGACTCCGCATGGCCATCGTGTGTTGATCTGATTTCTGCTGCATCACGTTGCTGCTCTCGAACTTGTATTCCCGAGTGATGAACGACATGGTGACTGAAGTTGGAGTTGGGAGTTCTTGGAGTTAACTTGAAGTGTTTGCAGTTGAGAGGTTGATGTTGATCTGGTTTCACTGCTCTCGACCCGGCTCCTTTTATACCATCCGCGCTCCGTATACTCTCGCTGCAGGGGAGAGTTCTCTTGAAGAGAGGTGCCACTCACGATTGTAGGTTCAACCAATAGGAGACCAGAGTGCAGGCAGGTGGTTGCACAAATCACAGAGAGAGGGAGAGAGTATAGAGAGACCGGTCTCTGGTATTGTTTGTGGAAGAAGATGCTTACCCTTGAGCAGGTAGGGTATGATGGGTTTGATGTAATGGCAATAGGAATCAGAAATTTTAACTGAAATAAATTCAGAAATGATTTATGTACAAAAATACAAATTTTAACTGTAGTGTTTAATGTATTAGTATAAAATAAATATTATTACACAGAGGAAAGGACTTTAATCTAAAGGATTTAATATTAAAATTCGAATATAACTAGTTATAGAAATGTTGATGTTCGATATATATCATTTTTCCAGTGGATTTTATTAATAAATCAAAAACATTTAATCGAACTAACCTTTATTTTAATAAGTTAATAGTTCTAAATCATAAACCGAACTTAAATTTAATATTAATTATATATTATTTAATAATATCGTTCTAATAATTAATACAAACTGCTCCAAGGTATCAGCTATTCGAGTGGCTTTTTCCTATCTCCCTTCTCTGTTGGATTTTTAACGGATTTTTCGTGAATCTCTCTGATCTTGCTCTTCTCTCGAACTCTCTGTGTTATCCCCCGCAGAGATACGTCTCACCCTCCCTCACACAGACTCTCCTCTCACTACCTGCTCGTCTCTGAAAAAAAACCCCTGAAATCCCGAAATCCCAGACGAAAAATTCCAAGAGAGCACAGGAGCGAACAAGTCGTAACTTGTTGGAAAAAATCCGAGTCCTGGTGTGAGGGAAGAGAGATTTTAAAATTCGACACAGTGTCCCGACCGAAAAAAAAGACGGAGGATATGGACAAACAATAGGTTTGCGCATCCGAGAGATACAATCTTGCCGCTGGAAATACCCATAAACGGACAAGGGACTTGTCCGTTATTTCATTGAGACGGCCCCGAAAGTGCCCTCTCTGTCCGTCCCATCCCAAAAAAGGTCCTTTTCCGTCCGTATTTACAATTTTTCCCAACCTGTAGGTAGTTTTGGGAAAGTAACGTATTTTCTGGGGTACTTGCTTTGGGATTGGGAAACGGACTCCTCAAGGTTAGTCAATATGCATTAATGCCGCATTTTGGGAAATCTTGGCAGGTCCTTTTCAGCTCCTTCCGATCGCATTTGTTTGTCATTGTTGTTCATTCCAAGGTTTCGAGGGACCTGCTCACTCTGTTGATGCGTGAAAAATTTACGAAGCACGTTCAGACAGATATGTATCTTTGTATCTGAGAGTTTTTGGTTTTTGGCTCGGTTTACGCATTTTACTGGAATTTCGCCGGCACTTCGTTTATGAGTTGCCTCCTAATTGTTATTTGTCCTTTTTCCCTTTAGCCCCCGAAGGTTATTTTCATAATTTTGTAACGGCTCCGGGGGAGAGAGAGAGGAGTTGAGTTTCTTGTAACGGTCGTTTTCCTTACTTGGATGTCCTGGCCATCTTTAAGAGGATCCCTAATTGGCCCCTGTGTGATGATGATGGTTCTGCTCCTGATTACGCAGAGCTTCTTTTGGTTTAAGGTTTCCCCTTGTTGGGAATAAACTAGTTTCTGCCCCAATTTGCTGCTGAAAATATCTGTATCACTTGCAGTGGTAAAAGTCAAAAGGGGTTAAAATACTTGTATGGCTGTCCGAGGGGGCTTTTTCACTTGGCCCGAAGACGTGCTTGACCCGATTTGACCCTCTCCACATGCCACTCTTACCGTTTTAACCCTTTTGATCCCCCTTATTGTTTATTTGTTGAAAGGCATATCACGTTGATTTTATGTAAATTTTTGATTATTGTTCAACCTTTGACGATGGCTTTTCTCAGGTGTACTAATTAATAATGTGTGCTGTGATATGTAAATTGGTTAGGGAATGGGTATTTATTGAGTTTGGTTAAGGTTTTTTGGATCATCAAATGGAGGAAGGTATAAGCTATGCAGTTTTTTGAGGGAACTAATATCACAAATCAAGATTACACAAGATTATAAACCTATTTTGTAAAATTTAAATAGTAAAAGACTTGATTATAAAGTTAGTTAACTCTGAAAAAAACGATCCAGTAGCTTATTATTATTTATTATATATTTTACTAATGGTATAATATTTATCTTTTTATATTTTCTACATACGATTTTAAGTATGAACAGTTATTAATTAATATTATTTAAAGATTTCCATGATAATTATGTAGAGTTCAGAAATATATAACTCTATGTATCATTTATTTAAAAACATTTCATTGTTTGTAATTATTTTTCACAATAATTGTTACCTTAAAAAAAAAAATACAAAACTCGTACATAAACATTTGATATTAATATTTATTAAAAGGGTTGATTAAATATATTTAATATTATTTGCATTAAAATATCTTGATCACAAATATTCAGACTAAAAAATCATATTAATTAATCGATAGTAAATAATATAATACTTAAATAATATAATACTTAAATAATATAATACTTAAATAATATTATATATATCATAAATTATATTATATGAAATTATACATTAAACTGAGTTTAAATATCTATTTAACGACTAGGGAATACTCTTGAATTTTTTGCCTCTCTTGGTTTGTCAGCTTCACAATCTATATTCTGTTTGCTAACGTTTTTTGTTCCATATTTTTTGTCATTATCAAATGGGCACATTTACGAAAACGTTTCATTGTCTGTCAAGTGAAAGAAAAGAAAGGAAGAAATGCCACCGATCCCACAATTTCAGTGTTTGCACACGTGCAATAGTTCTTGATCCTTGATCCTTAAGGAAAAACCCTCAGCAAGTTCAGACACGATCACTTGCTGGAAACTCTCCCACATTCGACAAAAATTAGGTCTCCTATTTGCCAAAAGGATTAGTGTTTTGGAATTGGAGTTACTATATATAGAGTTGAGATAGGTTTTTTTCTAGAATCTTATCTGCAAACATCATGGAAACGATCTCGGGGATGTACTTCGCGATGATGATTGCTTTTTCATGGCCGTTGATGGTCGACTAGTAGGCCGTTAACACTACCTTCGTAGCCTCCGTGAGATGCATTAGTTTTGGGTCATTTTTAGGGTTCGACTCATTTCGTTCTCGTCTCGTTTAATCCTCTTTTATGTTGCATTTGGGGTCGCATCTTTTTGTGTTCCGCCTTTCTACCTGCCGATGATGCTGCCGATCAGTATTTCTTTTTTGACCCTTGCACGTGTGTAGCGCTGGACCCTTTTTCTCTTTTTTTGTGTAACCCGAAATGCAACAATGTTAAATCGGCGGAGGAGGAGGGGGTCAGCATACCCAATATGACCGTCGAATGCCACTCCAATCCAGCGTAATTGTGACCTTCCGGAAAAAGGGATTAAAGATTGCCATTGTCCAACATAGATTTGGTTTTTCTTCTTTTTTCTTTGGCCCCGAAATCAGAAACTCTTTTCGTTTTGGCATTATGGTAAAAAGGGTCCAAGGGTTTTTATCAAATGCAAAGAGTTCGGGTTTCACTTCGATTTTACCCAAAAAAAAAAATGTTTTGATATTGTAAGGAGACGCAAAGAAGAGTCCCCAAAAAGTAATCTTTTGAATAGAATTTGAATTTTTTCAGGGTGATGTTTTTGTGTGCACTCGCCGCATTGATTGATTGATGGTTTGGTTTCGAATTATAAAATCAAATGAGACGATCCCTTTTGGAAGATTTTTTCTTGGGGTTGAGCTATTGAAATTGTCCTTCATTGGTTTTTATACTAGAGGAGTGAGGGGTTTTATTTCATGGTTGGGTAATTGAACCAAGAGAACCTTGGTTTTATTTATATTTTATTTATTTTACAAAGCAACGTTTGAGTGTTTGGAAAATTAAATTGCTGAAATAGATGGATATCTGAAAGTGTCTTGGACAACTCATTGAATTCTTATATAGTTTTGTTTTAAAAAACGTCCTAAAAATATCAAATTACATTTGCAATGTAAATATTTATATATAGGAAATATTTGTTAGTACGAAATATTTTTATCAGTTAGAAATAAAAATATATAAATAATTTTTAAAAAGTTGGATTTATTTAGATTGAGTAATTCGTTTTTAAATTCTTTATTTATAAAACAGACCAAATATTTATTTGGACCTTTGTTTAATTAATATTCAAATTAAATCAATATACAAAGTATTATATTTTTCCTTGAGTTTAACTTTTCTGCTTAGCATTTTTGGCAAGCAACATTTTATAGTATTTTTTCTAAACGAAAAGAAAACATATTTCAGACTACAGGTACCGCTCCTAAAGATAGGTATTTAAGGTTTATTGCAACTTTCACAACTTTTCAAAAATGGTTGACATCAACCTGTTAGTGTGCCTTAGTTGTTCTCCTTCCTGTCAAGTGTGAAAAATCGCGCTCTTTTGGGACAAAAGGAAAAATCCATATAAATTCTGGAAAGGTTCTGCCAATTCTAGGAATGTCAAGCCGAATGACAAAAATGCCTAGACGATGGATAATTTTCCTGGCGCCGGCGTCCTGGCGTTTATTGTCCTCCTAACGACTCGAGACGCCTTGCAGACTCTTACCTGTATCCTCGCCTCAAAAACCAAAGTGTTACCTGTACCCCTAAAAACCTAAAACCTTATCGACCAAACTGTCGCTAAAGAAAACCATTTATTTTTTCTGGTTGATAATTCTAAATGGCGTCACCGCTTCAATTACTTTAGAGACAAGGCCAAAGTCATTAAGGAGCCAAAGAGAAAAGTATTAATTTAAATATGGAAAAGAGAGTGCATTATCTTGTCGACAATTCGGCTTGGCTCAATCAGCAGTTTAGGGATCGTTA